ATCTGTTTGCCAGAGGACCATAATTAGTGGTGAAAATAATCCTACTAAGCTCCTAAACCATGGTATTGGGCATTGTCCTAGAATAAGACAATACAAGAAACCAATTCTACTACCTAACAATGTGCCTAAAGAGTTGGAACTTGAAGTGGAAAATTTACCTCACCTGCAACCAGGACACACTGGATTCCAGTGTATAGTGAGTATTGAGTTAGCCAACATGATATTGCCCGCAAGAGTTGAATCAAATCATTACATTGTGTGTGACAAAACAACATATTCTTATGAAGAGGATGTAGGGGAGTACAATGTAAGTGTTAAAATTGTTTGGAATCATAAACATTACATAGACACAATTAATATCACACTATACAAATGTGAAATTCTGGGATCTCATAGGGAACATGCAGATTGTTCTCTTTGCATAACTCGAAACTCCATCTATAAATGTACATGGTGTGGTAACTCTTGTTCATATAGTGAAACATGTTTGGAAAATCCAGTAACTGAATGCCCTAAACCTAGAATTGATATGATAAAGCCATTAAGTGGACCAATTGAAGGTGGTACCATAGTTACCATTGAAGGCAGTAATCTTGGTTTAAGGGTTGAAGAAGTTTCTGGGAAAGTTAGAATTGGAGATGTTCCATGTGAAATTGTGGACTTTGAAGTGTCTGTCAGCATCACATGTCGCACAGGTCCCTCCAATGGTTCAGCTGTTGCACCTGTTATAGTGGAAAATGATTCTGGCCATACAGAATCATCTGTTCTATTTAGTTATAAAAACATTAAACTTCAGGGCCTCTATCCTACACTTGGCCCTGTTGCAGGTGGCACTCAGTTAGCAATAGGAGGACAGCATTTAAACATAGGTTCATCAATATCTGCTTATTTAGATGAATTACCTTGCTCTGTAAATACAACACAGACATCAAACAGTAGATTAATATGTATTACTCCTAAAGCAAATGCACCCAGAGTGATTCATACCTTGACAGTGGGGATAGACAATGCCAACCGTACTTTACATGGAGATTTATTTAATTATACAGCAGACCCAACTATAATGGAAATAAAACCATTGAAAAGCTTTGTATCTGGAGGCAGAATGATAACAGTTCATGGTACAAACTTGCACACAATTCAAAAACCACTTATGAAATTATATTTTGCTAATGAAGTGCTCCCTGTGAACCACACAGCTTGTACTGTGCTCAATGAACATCAAATGGAGTGTCCTAGTCCTGCAGTCAATAAGAAATATTTTGAGATTTTGCAAGCAACTAAAACACAAACAAGTACTCCACAGATAGCAATGAAAGTTGGTTTTGTTTTGGATAATGTAGAAACAATGCATGAAAAACACTTTAATCCTCCCAGAACGCATATGGTTTTTGTGGATGATCCTCATGTTTACCAATTTCCTAACAAAGGCGTAAAATCTTATAAGGGAGACCCATTAGTAATAGAAGGTGAGAATCTAATTAGAGCAAGTGATGAAACTGATGTTATTGTCACTATTGGAACACAGCCTTGTAATGTGACAAGTCTTACCATGCAACAACTGTTGTGCACTCCTCCCGAGATACAACCAGCTAATACTGATGAAAATGGTTTGCAAATATCAGAAATTAGTCTACCTTTGGTAGTTGTTAAAATAGGAAAGAACTTACGATTTCCTATTGGTTACCTTCATTATGAATTACTTAGAAATTATAACTTCCCACCAGAAGTCATCGCAGGAATAGCTGGTGGAACTTTCTTTTTAGTGCTTATTTTTATGATTGTGTTAGTCATGTACAGACGTCGCAGTACAAAAGCTGAAAGAGAATATAAACGAATACAAATCCAGATGGACACTTTAGAGAGCAATGTTAGATTAGAATGTAAATTGGCTTTTGCAGAGCTACAAACTGATATGTCTGATTTGGCAGCTGATTTGGAACATTCAGGTATACCGACGCTCGATCACGTAAACTATGTGATGAAGGTCTTTTTCCCAGGCGTGTCCGACCATCCCATATTGAATGTTCAGCGTCAATTTATTAATACGCCCAGAACAAATTACGACGCTGCTATGATTCAATTTGAGCAACTTTTGAATAATAAATGTTTCCTTTTGTCATTTATAGACACATTGGAGTCACAAAAGTCGTTTAACATTCGAGACAAAGTGAATGTTGCTTCCCTGCTAATGATTATCCTTATGGGAAAAATGGAATATGCTACAGACATTTTGAAGTCTCTTTTGTTGCGTCTTATTGATAAATCTATATGTAATAAGCATCCACAACTCATGTTAAGGCGAACTGAAAGTGTAGTTGAAAAAATGCTGACTAATTGGATGGCTTTATGTATGTATTATTATCTTAAAGACTACGCAGGTTCTTCATTATTTTTGCTCTTCAAGGCAATAAAACACCAAATCGAAAAGGGAGTTGTTGATGCTATAACTCACGAAGCTCGGTATTCTTTATCAGAAGAAAAGCTTTTGAAAGAACAGATTGATTACCAAACTATAACATTGCATATAGTCCAAGATGATTTTGATGAAAAAGTTCAATGTAAAGTGTTAGATTGCGATAGTATTTCACAAGTTAAATCTAAAATATTAGATGCCCTGTTTAAAAATACTCCATTCTCTATGAGACCATCCGTCCATGAAGTTGATTTAGAATGGAGACACGGAAGAGGTGGACATGTAACGCTCCAAGATGAGGATGTTACCACGAAGACGATTAATGGTTGGCGTAAATTGAATACACTAGCTCATTACGGGGTCAAGGAATCAGCTGTCATGTCCTTAATATCTAGACAAAACGACAGTTTCAACACTCCATATAAAATACCATGCAAGAATTGCACAGGAATATATTGTTCCAATTCTCACATACGAGTTTATAATAGTGACATTACTGATCAAAATGTTCACTACTATCACTTGGTGAAACCTATAGAATACCAGCATATTATCAACAAGTCATCAGAACATAGTCATAAAGCTATTCCTGAGATATTCCTCACCCGACTCCTCTCGACAAAAGGCACAGTCCACAAGTTTGTTGATGATTTCTTCAGCACTATTCTCACTGTAAACGAGGTCTTGCCACCAGCCGTGAAGTGGTTATTTGATCTTTTTGATGACGCTGCTCGAACACATGGAATCATGAATCCTGAAGTAGTCCATGCTTGGAAATCGAATAGTTTACCTCTAAGATTTTGGGTGAATCTCATAAAGAATCCCGATTTTATATTCGACATAAATAAAACTGCTACTGTGGACTCTTCGTTATCAGTTATCGCTCAAACGTTTATGGATGCTTGTTCATTGACTGAACATCGACTGTGTAAAGATTCTCCTTCTAACAAATTACTTTTTGCTAAAGACTTGCCTACGTACAGAGAAATGGTCATAAGATTTTATCAATCTGTATCCCAATTACCTCAAGTAACAGACCAAGAGCTAAGTACTTCTATGCAACAACTCTCAGTGGAACAGTTGAATGAGTTCGACACTCTTTCGGCCTTAAAAGAGTTGTATATCTATGTCAGTAAATATAGAGAACAAATTATATTAGGACTAGAAAACAAAATGCACTTAGCTCATAAATTAGATAATATAGCATGCACTATGGAAGGGGATCCTACATCTATCTGCTGACTATATGACACCAGTCACGATTTAATTGCATTTACGTAATTTATTTATATATAACATATATGTATTACCTACTTTGTAAAAAGAAGCTTTAATTTATTCTGAAAATACTCAGATCTAATAAAACTGATATGTAAAAAGACTGTAAGCTATCAGTTTCATAACTCTAGTTAGAAAGTAAAGAATATTTTTTTCAATGAATCACAAAGGAATACTTAATAGCTATGGACTTGTTTTTTTGTCGAAGTACCTATGGAATAAGTATTAAGAGATCTTTTTAAGTATTAAGTGAAATTATTGCTAACTTGTATTGGCATTCATTATTTATCAACCAGCTAGCATTACACTATGGGACTGAATGAACATCTAATATTTTTTATTTTATATGTGAATGAAATGTATTGTAAAGTTACAATGTTTTAAAATATAATTTATTTTACTTACAATGGCCATACAGGTAATTTATAAAAAAACATAGATTTAAGCAATTTTAATGGAATGGAGATGGAGTTTTAGAAGTTCTAACAGTCCCATAAAACCGAAATTTGAGATAATTGTAATGCATTTAATCTCCCAGTGGCCATGCTATTTTTATAATTTTAATATAAAGCGAACCAATGCTCTCTTTTAGAAAACAAATATGATTTTATAAAAAGGATGAATATAATGTAAATCTGGCACTGAAATAATTGTAAATGTTCTTGTTTGTATTTATCTTAAATTACTTAACTATTGATGTGTATTACGCTAAGATGTATGTGTAAAGAGAAATAAGATGTAATTAAGAAAAATGTTGTGATATTTGTATTTGGAATATTGATAGTATTAATTTATCATGTTAAATACTTTAATTTATTCAGCACTTTTTTCTCAATAAGTCAATCTTTCGTATCTTGGAAAAATGTAAGTCTCATTCATTAGTATTGAATTTTTAATTACAGTTAGGGCATTTTTTATTCTTGTATACAGCAACAAAGCACTCGTCGTTTTAATAATTTCATGATCTCATTATGTTTTTGCTCAAATAACTTTTTTGTATAATTGTCGTCAATTTGTATAAAGAAACCCCAATTTGATCTTTTTTACATTATGAATCTCAAGTGTATTGTAAAAATCTTGACAGATAATGTCATAATAATATTCCATTTACAAAATATGTTTAAAATAGTATTAGTTAGATTTAATAACTTGCTAGAATGTAAGGCAGCGTAAATTCACCCGTCTTTGAAATTTTATATTATTGACTTAGAAATATACTTATTTATCAATCCTTTTGTAATGAATAATTTCAATATGAATGGGATAAAACAAAACAACAGTGTGTTATTCATTTTAACGTTTATTACGTGTACATAAATAAAATATTAAACATTTGGGCAATTCTGACATACATCAAGTCATTTACGTAGCGCATCATTCTAATTGATTTAAATTGCAAAGAATATGTACTGTCAGTTAATTAACATTACAATAATTTGTTTCTAGTGTTGGTGTGATCCTATTTTCAAATCTTTGTACTGTATAATCTCGATTTATCTAAAGACTGCAATAACACATTTGAATCTATCACATTGAAAGCTATCAATATCGCTATGCTTGAAAACTTATTTATTTAACATTACTTCGTGCAAATGTAGTAAAACCAAGTGAACAAATAATTTAGATTTTAATAAACCACTGAGCAGTAAACTTTATCATGTTCAAAAACCAGTTAGAGAAAGTTATTAGTTTATAAAAATATATTGACATTTCCGCAAGTGTCATACTTGTTCAATTCTTATTTCTACATGCCTAGAAAAATGTCTACTCGGCTTGGTTATTTCAATACGAGTCAAGCGAATACAGACACAATATTCTAAGATAATAAATTCCTAACAAACATTATGCCAATCTTTCTACATGAACACACTCAGTAACACATTTAACATTTAATCAGTGGAATTATTTGGAAATGTTCAATTTATGTCTATATAAATGCTGAACAAATATCATTTGGAACTGTTATACCCGCCACTAAAGATTTATATGAGAACTTGAACTCTGCTGAAGTTGTTCAATTTTCATTCCCTCTCAACATTTTACGTGCACTAAAATTTTACACCGTATACTCGGTTGGCGAGTAAATAACACTCATATTACTGTCGGAATTTCAAACTGTAGTGAGATCATAATTATGGAATAGATATTTTAAAGAAAATTCTAAAAATTATCAAACATAGATTATTGTCAGCATTTTCAAAGAATGATTAAAAGTTCAATGGTTTATAATTCTACAAGATTTCAAAGTTTTTTAAAACTGACTAGGCCTTATAACTGGGGCTTTCGTCGTTACATTAATAAGTTGTGCAGGCCATGACATTGGTAAACGTTTTGTATGTTTACCACATTAGACAAAAAGAGCTTTGCATCATTTTGAAGGAGCACCGAAAGCTAAACGCTTTTGCGTAAACAATACTATCGAACGCCACTTACTGTAAATGCAAAGCTTCACATAAATATAGAACTAACATTGAAGGCAGTCACATAGCTTAAAACATCAGTTACCACGCAGGACACATTTGCGCATACGCACACGTCCAAGGAGACGTAAGTATTATAAAAATCTGTTTATAATCACACCATTTAATTACATCCCTCTCTATCGACCTCACTTGGTCCAACGAGTTAAGATAAATAAACACTTTTTAGCTCCGACCAAGAAATGTTTATTTATCTCAACGTCAAATTCTATAGAAATGGGTTTCTAATTTACACCACACAAAATATACACAATTCCCTCGTCTCAAACCTTATTCAGGATTTAAACAATCTCCTTTAGATAATTCCCTTCAACTTATGAACATTTTTTGGACGGAAGTTAAGTTAGCTCCGCAACAAAGCTCACAGAACATCGCTTAGCGAACAATTCCATAATGTTAAAAGTTTTCTTAGGAACGAACTTTTTCACTATACATTATTTTAAAAACCCATTTCCTGTCAATTCACAATGTTTCCAATATAAATTCATTAAACGGAATTGTGTGTTGCAGATATTCCTGTTGTAGGTAATTAGACAATAAATTAATAATTAAATTATTCTCGCAAATACATTTAATAAGTAGTATGGTCAAAATCAATAGATAATAAACTTCATCACTGCACAAGATTTAGTAACATGCGAATATTCAGACATGCAAGAAATTTATCTTTTGAAATTGACAGCACAATACAAAACAACACTGAATTCTAACTACTTCATAGGAACACTAGAGGAATTCAATGAGAAATGTAAGTATGCGTACAAACTACAACTAAACCAATTTGCGAGGACTATCTATCAGTAATAAACTCGAACATTCAACTATAATTGTGCAAATCTGTATTTGTACTGCATATAATAACCATTCATTTTAACATAATAATATTTTACAAACAATTATTCGATAAATATCTCAATTTCATGTACTCGTTAGTTTGTAAATGGTTCTCACTCATATCAAACATTAACGTTACATACAATACATATAACATACTTGACTTAACCGGGACTAGAACCCAGGACCGTTAAACAGTGGTGTTTTTACGGTCGTCATACATTATACGTGCACTTGGCACATTGATTAAAATGCATAGTATATAAATAATCAGTTAAGTATATCACAATAGTAACAAATAACTAAAGGCCCGTGTCTCCTGTGTGCATTCGAAAAATATTGCGAAGATGAGGTGTGGCACAAACTCTGCAGCATAACTTTTACTATTCAAAGTGCTTAGTGCATGTTAGCTTTACTCTAGGTGGTTGACAACATTACAACGTTCGGCGCCCTGATTGGCCTGCTCCAAGCTAACCAACCAATCAGAACGCTAAACGCGACAACGTTCCAATCGCATTAATGCAAGGAAACTAGCACTAGGCACTCTAATCACTGGCAAATTGATAGAGACCTTTAAGCTAGTGGCTTACAAAACTCACGTCTTTTTGCCAGCTTTGATAGCCTATTGTTAAGCCACGATACATTATGCAACGACAAAAAACTTAGGCAGTGTTGTATATAAAAGCAAATATTTTGTGCAAGTTACAACATACTGCAATATAAAGTTATATATTGACATGTACATAAATAATAACAATACTTATATAAACATATTCTCTACAACTATTATTATCGATGCCACGCCTCTTCACCTCAACTAATCACAACGAAAAACAACTCATTAATTCACGTACAGTTCGACAATAAGCCTGGAGAACAATAACGAATTTACAATAATTATTTATAAAAAGCTTATGTGCCGTTTATAACATATTGCCTCTTAGGTCCTGCCTAATATCTTACTTAGGGCATAACAGGAACTACTCGTCCCTTTACTAGGCTTTGGTAAATACGGGTTTGTCTTCTACATCAATATATCAACTATTTATTAGGACGTATAAAAACGCGGTGGAGAATCGTTACCTCCATAAGATGTACTTACAACACAATTTAAGTACTTCATCAAAATGTTACTGCCGATGAAATGGACTGCAGTAATTTAATATTTTTTCTAATAAATATTAGACATATAAGTATACCAAAGTTTTCTACGATCCACGAGTTATTGTAAATCTAATATGCCAACTGGGGTGATTTTTCTAATGGATCACGGTAGACGATGGTGGCTGATTTGATGAGGTCAGGCTCGTCATCTGAGGGTACGCAATCGGCGGAGGCGGCGACATCTTTGTGTGAGCATTTGTTGTGTGCCATGAGCAAGCCTCCAGCGAGTCCGACGAGGGCGCGGTCCAGCCAGTTGACGGGATTAGCGTACACCAAACCTCCTTCGTAGAAACCCAAGTGTCCGCCGTGAGCCAGTTCGAGATACATTGCCTTATCATGCGAGCCTGTAAAGATAAATTTCATACATGAGACAACAACGTACGAATACTGCAGAATACTAAGTGACGTTAAAATTATAACAGATAACCTTCGGTCTGATTTATAAACATTTTTTCTTCGTCTTGCCGTTATCTGGTTTATCTGCCACGCTAGTTAATCGTGCAAATTTTATATTACTTAAAATTGATATGAATCATATTATTAGCATAGATCATTCTAGTCTTTTTAAGCTTAGGCACCTCTTCCAATTTTTATAAATAGAAATTTAATTTATAAATTCAAAAATGTAGGTGCTATTGTTTCTGTGAAATGTCATATGTATATTTTAGTCAAATGAATCCTTTTATTCTTAGACCGACGCGACGAAAGAAGTCAATCTTTTTACCTAAATCGAATTTACTTATGAAATGTCAGCCTTCGCATCCGAATTAAGTAACTTACGGCAAGAATATAAATAAATTTATGGAGATTTAAAATCAAGTTCTACTGGTTCCATTCATACGTAAGTACAATGATAATGACCTCAATTAAGCGTTGCACAATGTTTCCAAATTACAATCATTTACATTCGGTACAATTAAAACCATAAGGAGAAAGCCCACGCATAAATAAACATAGATTAAAGATCCTATCGAATTTCGGTGAGTAATTTAGAGGCAAATTGCAGACACACATTTTTACAATGTCACCTTATTCGTTCTAGTAAATTACTCACAAATACTATTTACAGACAGACACAATGCTATAATTAATAATGTTAAGTCATTAACCAAAATATCGGTGACACAACACGACCAAACAGCGCATATAATATGTTAATACATACATAAATTAACTAAATTCGAAGAATGGATAATTTTAATGGGTCAGTCGCAAGTGTACAAAGACCTAACATTGTTATTATTTATTTTTACGAAATATGAAATAAATTCCTTTTAAGACTTGTTATGTTTTTAGCATCCGAGTTTTGGCAATTTGTTTTTATTGGCATTAAAACAGCACGATACTTATTAATAAGATTTAAAAATAACTTTATATACACACTAGCTACGCTTGCGCGGTTTTACCCGCTGTTCAGCTCCTACAGTAATAAGCGTGATATTTTACAGTCTATACAGCCTTCTTCGATAAACGGACTAACGAACACTAAAATAATCATTAAATTCGAACCAGCGGTTCTAGAGATTAGCACGCTCAAACACACAAACTCTTCACTTTTATAATATTAGTATAGGTATATGAAACTTTATTCATTATATAACATTAAGTACAGCGATTAGTAATAGTGCTTAATAAAACACATCTATAATTAAAAAGTTTGTACTTACTGACAAATTCCCTGACAATAGGCAACATTGGTTCTGGTACGATGGGGTCATCTCGAGCGTTGACGAAAATCATTGGGGTCTTAATATTGTGTAGATAGAATGCAGAGGAACTCCATTTGTAGAGATCAGCAACTGATTCGAAGCCGTAAACCCTCCTGAAACAATAAAAAAACAACGAATTTAAAAGGCTATTCAACTATGTTATCTTTCAAAGTTATCGTTGGTACCTATTACCTATACGATAACCACAATAAGAATTCCAGTTAAAAATCTGTTGTAACTAACTAATCGCAAATATGTTTTTTACATACTATGTAGTTCTTTATTTAATAATTGACTGGAGCTAATACATAGTAATCAATATTTCCTATCTAATGACCATAAGAAGTAGCGACCTGAAGACTGGATTAATATGGAAATGCTTTTTGAGTCTTCCGGCGGCTGGGACTACAAAAACTCGGGCCGCGGTCCCAGTAGCCGGCTCCGTCAAAAAATAAAGCGACTGGGACTGGGCCGCCAGATGCCTCTGCACAGCTACTTTTCTCTGTGATTTCGAGCTTATTTTGGCTAGCTGAGTGTCTCTCTGAATCTCGATTGTGCTCAATGACCAACAAAGTCGACTTTCTTGTAGAAAGTTAGTTTTTAAACAACATGCATAAACTAAAAGTATTGTTAAAATATGAGTATAATTTCTAGCTATTATGGTGCATTATGCTTAAAATCCAGGATCCAATCTTGACTATTAGGGTCACTAGTCAAAGAGCATCGACACCGCTAAAATAAAAACTTTAAAAACTCGGCTATAATAAAAATCAGCAGATGGCGTGATCGGTCAAAGATCACAAACAACGATAATGCGACGGCCACGATGAAACGAGTACCTACCACAATTACCTATTTACCTCAATTGACTGTTCATTGTAACAATATGTACACTTAACGACCAATGACGTTTACTAAATTATACGATTGCTTGTAAATTTATAGTCTGACATATTCAGGAAGTAAGGGAAACATCGTGAGGAAATCTGGACTTTGAAATCGCCAACCCGCATTGAGCAAGCGTGGTGATTAATGCTTAGACCTTCTCCGTGTGTGAAGAGGCGTTTGCTCAACAGTCAGCACTTATAGGCTGATGATGAATGGAATAGGGCGGCAACCTAGTATACGGATTACCAACTGATAACCAACTCTGCTTTATGCATACATGTTTAAATTCTATAAACTCAATGAAAAGTCGTATCATTGTTTACAAAGACGTCTCTTTCAGTTTAATCTAAAACTCATTTTATTTTATTGTCGGTAGGTCAACTATGTTTGTTTTCTTTTCATAAATTATAGAGGAAACGTTCTTTAGATTGTGTGAATAGTACATGTATCGTAAACTGCTTTAAAAATGATGATCATTTATTGATAGGTTTTTATAAATAGTTATAAAAGTAGAAATATTAAAATTCACTATCTTCTTTATAGATAAGAATGGAGTAAATTGGGTAGTTTCCTAGGTCAAAAATAAATTAATTCGACGTTTCAATACAATAAAATATTGAAAAATAACTACACTTTTATTCATCGATCGATCGATACATAAGGTTTTAGATATTATGTAGCTAACTATTAAAATTTTTGCGTCAAATAGCTTATTTGACGCAAAAATATAATACGACGTCATAACTCACTGTTTCATACAAATTTCATACAGAAGTACCGTTTTTGACATTTAAAGTATTGAATTTGACTAGTTGGAAACTACCGTATTATTTTGATAATACAGCATCATGAACGACAGACTAGCAAGTAAAAGACTATAGAACCGTCGTAATTAGCAAAAATCAAAATAATTGCACCAATGACACAGTTGAAAATGTTTCCAAAAATTCTTACCTTGAATAAGCCTCATCGAGATCAGGTAAAGTACCAGCGGAGACGATCTGCTTCTCATCTAAATTGTATCTGCTCTTCATTTCAGGGCTGAGCAGCATTCTCTTGTGTCGCGTGATAATGTTGCGATAGTTGTCCGTCATTATGTACAGGTAGAAACGACGGAAGTTCTGCCATTGCAAGAGGTATACCATCGTGCTAAAAAGTAAGAGGAATAAGGGTTATTATTGTGTGAAACATCGGCGGAATTTTTATCGCATCTAGAATACTCATTTCAATAGAAAGCAGCAGTGGGTGTAAAAAAGAGTAATTTAAATGCATTATTAACCACTGGTCTCGTCCTATAAATTTATAAATAGGCCATTAGTACATAACTATTATTGCTCATGTACATATTTATGTAAATATTATATCACAAAAATAGTCCGGGATTGTCAGATTCTTACTGGCTAAAAACTAATAATATCACCTTTTATCCTTCTCATCAGACAATCAATCAATTTAACTAGCTAAATCGAATGTCCTAAAACATTTTTTTCTCCTATATAACATATGAAAAGTAGAGTATTTCAATATACACACTATGTATGCATTGGCATACATAGTGTGTATGTTGAAATACTCTATTGCAATTATTAAATGGTTCAATGATTACTTGGCAAATCAATTTAATTAAAATCATCCTATCGAAATCGGTTCTCATGAATAAGTTACAAATATTTGCTGAAAGTCATACATACATCAATAGTCATCATATGCTATATATATTATTATTATCATGTTTTTGGAAGAAGGCAAAGAGCGAGACCCGTAAAACATTCATACATCACACAAGATTGTTATTTCGAAAAATATATTTAACTAGCTAGCCTCGCGCGGTTTCACCCGCTGTTCGGCAACATTTAGTCGTAGCGTGATGTTTCATATAGCCTATAGCACTCAGGAATATTGTAGCTACCTATCAATGAAATAATTTTGGGAATCCGAACAGCGGTTCCATATATTACCTCCTACATACAAACTTAAAATTTTTTACCTCTTTATAATATTAGTATAGAAGTAAAGATAGTATAGATTGTTCTAGTGTTTAACATCCCTGTTATTACGACCAATTAAGAGAGGCTCGATATTTGATTATTTCAAATGTAATTCCATTAATTGAGGTGAAGGCTCGCAAGAGTCAAGTTAAATAAACATTTTTTTTAATTAATACTAAGATAATTAGAAGTTTCTATCGCACCGCGACCTCGATTTGTTACACGGAGATAGCAGATATTATGCTGATTTAAACTCTGCTTACAATTTCAAAATATTTTTTTTATACTAAGCAAATCGGAGAAAAATGCTGTCATAAATGAAAAATATCGAACAAGCGTGTACCAATAAGATTTACAACTTTCGCAATTCTAATCTTAGAGTTTTATAGGTTTTTTTATGAAGGTCAGTGTTGAGCAAGAATTAGCCAAATATGCGTATTGATAAGTTATTGAAACCCACAATCTTGTTTATATTTTAGTATCATAATATTATAAGATCCCTTATAAGAAACCAAACCATTTTCTTTTAATTAATTATTAAAATAAAAAACGCAAGGTCTTAAGAAAGAGTTCAAGGGGCACTTGATTTGCAAATTAACATAATAATATAACCTCGACCGACCAATAATGCTGCAAGTTGAGATTCTTAAGTCAAAGTCAAAACATTTATTCCAATTGCAGGCACTTTTGAACATCAAACAGAACAATTAAATAGAAAAATGTCAGCCTGTCTGCTAATATTCTAGTGGAGTTATTTACCAAATCCTAGATTCATATAGAAAGAAACGAGCAAGAAACTCCATAGTTTATCTCAACGATATAACTCAAGAACTATAAAGGGGTTGACACAAGTATATGTTCACTTTTATTTGATTGGAGATCGCAATTTCTCCTAGCACAGGTATTCCTTATACTTAAAAGGAGACATTGATGTTCCAATGAAAGCAATTGTTAAAAGTTTTTAAAGATTAAAATGTTAAACCTTGTTAGAGACCGCTGCTGACCCTTGTTAAAATATGTCGGCTCTTATGACGTCAATAAGAGAGTAAAGGTAGTCAACTGAAGACAAATGTATTCTTCTCCACAATCATTTACATTTTAATCAATAAAAGACTCTTTTAAAAGTAGTTACTTACTCAATAGCATTGTATCCCTGGCATATTGAGATTCCTCCAATAATATTCGTGGGCCTCTTTCTGTCCTCTCCTAAGTACTTAGATATTAGATTGCCACCCAGACTGAATCCGACTAGAATTAGTTTCGTGTTGGGGTACCGTTCCAATAAGTTCTCCACCATGTAGTTGTAGTCATCGGTGTGCCCTGGAAATAAAAATATTGTTATTGAAACTGTATATTAAAATGGTTCTCAATTTCTCTTGATTAGGCCATCACGCATCAATGGTTAGACCTTATTTTTTTCAGGGGAAAATCATCAAATTTCTTCTCCCACCCAGGGTGAGGCAAGAGGGAGTGTCAGACTCTTACTGACTAAAAACCCCCGTACCTTCTACTGCTTTAGGCCGAGTCCCAGGCCGCGGTGTCTCATTATTGAGCTTACCTCGTAACCCCGGCTGTAATGGACTATTAATGGCTCGACCTATTCCGATAATTATTTTTATGTATTTTGCAGGAGAATGCTCTTAAAAAACTTTTTTTAAATGATCGGCACCGATATACCCTCTTGAGGACACCCGTGGGACACACACACAAAGCAGGGGCCACTTGTACCTATACCAATAACTCATGTGAAGTCTTCATGGTTGTATCTAGTTATCGTGTGAAGCCTACAGGAGTTGCAGCGGATCGAGGATGTTGCGGCGAGTTCGTACCAAAAAAACTTACTTCACTTCATAGTATAAAAACAAAGTCGCTTTCTCTGTCATGCATGCTTAAATCTTTAAAACAACGTAACAGATTTTGATGCGTTTTTGTTTTAATCAATAGAGTGATTGAAGAGCGAGGTTTATAATTAAGTATGTATTGTAACATCACTTTAAAAGTGGAGAAATTTAGTAAGTATCAACATTGTACTCGTGTGAAGCTGGTGAGGGTCGCTTAATTTATAGTTTTTATACATTTTTGAACATTAACTTATATTTTAGTTTATAAGCCTTATCGATAATTACCAAACCGATAGGTAAAATAGGTCATTTTTAAACGAATAATTATATTGTAGTTAACGCTATTAGGGTTAACGATTACCTATCAATTGTATTAGTAGCCTCAAACTCGTTATTTTTTATAACACACAGTAAGAGAAATACCTATTTAATATTACATAAGTAGTAATAAAAGTACTGCTATTTTATTTCATGGTCATATCATAAAATCAATTTTTATAGATAGTTAGATGTATTGAATAACATCTATCATATCGATTTTAATGCACTTGACCATTTTCAAGGTCGTTGCCGATTTGGTTAACGTATGAACGTGTTTTCTTCAAGCCCGACATAACGAAGCTTAATTGGCATGCAAACCAATGTACAAATAGACATGTAGCACGCAACAAAAGATGTATTACGTATTAAGATTATAAATATGCTTTTTATGAAAACCATCAAAGGCGTTTACGGGTTTAGAAATTGTCTCACTGTGCCAATTTATAAGCATTCTTCGACTGAAATTGACTGAATGCTTTTGGCTCATGTTCATTTTTGCTATAACCATACTCTTTAAGGTTGTTCTGTAACTTATAGAAGCTAGAACAAAGCAATGATTTAGTTGAAAACGCTCCCAAAGTAAACCTCAGATGGGTTAACATTATCTGCAATGGCAATAATTAATTGGGAAACATTATTGAAAAAAATAACAAGAAATACTTTCTAAATGTTATGCTTAAGTGTAAATGTGAAATCAATAAATTGAAAAACGTGAAACAATGCAAAGATCAGCGAAACATAAAGCAAAAATTAATTAAAGAATCGACAATAAATATGCAATCATTTTCCCATTTTCCAACAATCGAAGCATAGAGTTATCTACACGTATTCTTTGTAACAAGTGCTGGTTTGATAAACAATAGAATGCGTCATTTGTAAATACCTAGCTAAACAATTTAGTGATGTGCATCGAGAAATGATACATTTAAAACCGTCCATTCATTGGAAATTTTAGCATTGAATAACAGCTACTGTACATTATATACATAACTAGCTACTCTCGCGCGGTTTCACCCGCTGCTCAGCTCCATTGCATCGTAGCGTTATGTTATAGCCTGTAGCACTCAGGAACATTGTAGCTATCTATCAGTGAAAGAATTTTGGCAATCCGACCAGCGGTTCCAAAGATTACTTCCTACATACAAACTTACAAGTTTCACCTCTTCTATTATCTCTAGATATTATTATAGATCTTTCCCTACATATACTCGGAATTTTAATTCCATTCCAGATTTGACAATTTCAGTGTTGCAACGTTATGACACGTAATAAATAGTGACGTTGCGAAATTATTCGATATGGAAATCGAATATTTCTGAATCGATTCCTGTCGTTTATAAATTTACTCTCGTAAACTAAGTTTATCAGGAAATAAAATATTTCTGAACCGATAATTTAGTTTTGACAATTAATTAACGATCTGAGACTTTTCTTTTGTAATTGTGTGTGAAATTAATAAAAAATGTGATCATGAAGGAACGTGACAAATAAAACAGACATTTTATAAATTGTCGCCGTCATCGCTATCGCTATTGCCGTTACTCTATGTAACATTTATTATCAATTGTGTCTTTGATATTTATTGTCAATTAACATATCTAGCTTACTAATTTTTTCCTCTTCTTTGAAAACATGGGAAACACATTTAGACCATTCGGTAGCCATAATTTTTTGAATGCCTTCCTGAAACTGATTCCCTAATTGTTTATCGATTTTTGTGTTCATCACTACACTGTTATATGTGGTATCATTATTTCACAAAATGACAGTGGTCAATGTCAAATCAGGAATCGAATTAAAAGTCTGACTATAGTATTAAACTTGTTAGACGGACCAGGCTAATATGAACTTATTTATTACATTCTTACAATATATTATTGAACGGGAAAGTTGATGCTTCTTTTAGTTAGAAGAAAATTGTAGGAGCAATGCTAAATAAGATACTAGGTTACCTAAAACCGCAAGCTCTAGTGTAAGCTACCAAAACTTTGACCAAGCTAAAACCTATAGGTACATATCTATTCGGTACCAAACTACTTTCAAATATGAATAGAACCTTGAAAATAATAATACTGTATTGTATATTGATCGTTACTTAATAGAATGCTCCTTGCAATACTTCTCACGGTTGAAATACTCGTATAATATGCGAAAATTATGAGAAATGACAACTGGCCCTGCATATTTGAAAGGAGGGCTCAAAGCGCCTTAGTAAGACAGTCCAATTAAATTCCATAGAATAGATATCGGTGGATATAAAGAGGATATATAACTTACAATATAATAGTGTTTTATTTGGGATGTGAAAATCACCAAATGATTTATTCACCCAGGGTGAGTTTTAGACTCTTACTGACTAAAAAACCCCTGTTCTTGCTGTTTACTGCGGTACCTTATTACGCTTGCCCCGCAAACCCAGCTGAACATCGGCCGTATAGAACTACGTCTGTAGTGGTCTATTGGCTCTTTGATTGAGGCACAATATTCATCTCTACTTCATTTCTTCTACTATTACGAATACTTAATATAAGTAAGTACATAAGTTCTAGAAAAGTAGTCGGACATATTTAGTTTCTAGCATTCAAAAGAACAAAGGTTATTATTAATGATTACATTCCATTACGTCATTTGAGTCAAGAGTGTGAGTTGGTGAGTAATAACTTTATTTTAGTCGATTGCTAGCCGAGGGTTTCCCCTTTAATTTATACGGTAGTTAACCACTAGATGAATAAATGTTAATTTTCAAAAACTCTTGCTTTATTTATATTTATGCGATGATAATCGCATCACTCAACAACACCTGGACCAATTTTGGCAATACGGTAGTTTCCAACTAGTCAAATTCAATATTTTTATCCAAATGTCAAAATCTATACTTTTCTATGAAATTTGTATGAAAAACTTAGTTATGACGTCATAGTTTCATTGCATCAAATAGTTTACTTATTTCTTAAAACTTAGCTAAAAAATATCTAAAATTCAGTGTTATGTATCGATCGATCGATGAATAAAAGTATAAGTAGTTATTTTTCAATATTTTATTGTATGACCTGGGAAACTACCCAATATTATTTTTGTGGTTGTTATTGTCAGAAAAATAATAGTAAAGTAAAAGGAAATACTGGAAATAGCGACACTTTCGTCGTTAGCGCAATAGTTTAACATCCGTGCAAAGCAGTGACGAGTGGTCTTTAGCGAAGTAGTTTGACAACCGTGCAAAGCAGTGACGAGTGAGACACGTTTCTTCGAAATATGATAAACTCTTTTAATATGTTATGTTTTGTAAACAAACACGTTACCAGAATTGATTTTGTGTCCGAGGAAAGACCTCTGCTAAAAGTACTTAATAGGAATCAATGAACTCCGATTATACTCCAGAATCTGTAAATATTTTTAACCGACTTAAAAAGGAAGAGATATCCAGCCTTTCTATGTATTTCCGGTTGTATCTTCAATTGTTTATATAGCGACTTATATACAATGCAACTAGTAGAATCAGACTGCATAGCAAATTGCAGTATAATGGTCGGTAGCAATGACCTGGACGTGAAAGTTGCTATATTACGTACAAAGGTGTAGGATGCATATATGCAGTGCCTATCTACGAGTATAAAATACTTAGGACTAGCCTGGATGTCAATAAAATTAGCGGTCAAACTAATGAAGCACTTAATTAATTGAAGCAATGGCTACCTTACCTACTATTAATTCAAATATATGACTTGTTTTTTTATGTGGTAGGACGACAAACGATCTAAATAATTACTTGATGGTAAGCAATCGATGCCGCTCATGGAAACCCGAAATACCAGAAGAATTCAGAATGCGTTGCCGCCTTTTTGGAGATTAGGGTTTCGGAGATTGGGGAAGGGGCAGAATTAGACCTCCGGTAACCTCACATACGGTGACACAACGCTGTGGTTGTTTCACGCCAGTTTCTGTGAGGCCATGGTGTCACTCCGGTCGAGTAAACCCTTTCGTGTCGAAGCGTGGCTTCCCTATACTTCACTACGAGTTAGTTATTTCACTACTAATAAAAGAATATCTGGTGTTGCTATGTGAAAAAGACCTTGTAGAAAATCGTTCGTGACAATCTAATCTTTAACACTGTAAGTTAGTACTACAAACAATGGTATAAATATGGCAAATTAATTCGTTACTCAACTCAATGTACAAACAATCCTAAGGTAGAAAATTGCGAGATGGTCTACATAACGTGTGAAAAAACTTATACCTAAAAATGCATTTGTATTATAGCATAGAGTTACGAAAGGAGTACATTTTCTGGTTATCATGTTTACCTAACAATATTTTTATTTGTACCTATAGTGCATTGGTTGGATTACTGATAGAAACAAAAGCGTGTGGTATAGTCATGAAAAAAAGTCGCGGGTTTTTTTCTTCATGGGTGTAGTAAATTGTAGATAAGGTGACATTGTCTAATTACTGCCTGACAATAACGTTAGTTTCTGCATATTTAAATCAACCTCGATGAAATTATTGTAAACCTACTAAAACCTACATTGTAGGGCCCATTAGGACAAAATCACAATAAGGCTCCATAGAATAGGAGTAGAAAGAACGTGGTGGGGTGGTCAGTAAGTCTGACATTCCTTCGTCCAGGGGCTACCAAGCCATGGATGCTTTCCCCCACTAAAAAAAAGGTTCATTGCTCAGTACCTTACTATCGTTTCACTATAATTTGTGCGATATTTTGTTAAAAAATAATATTAATGGTATACTGTTAATTAAACAAGTATTTAGATCAGTTCCCTCATGCATATCCGTTTACGCGCCACAACACCCGGTCAGTTGTTTCGTTTATGCATTATCCTTGGTACGTAACAACATTATGTAATAGAAAATATTGTATTTCTCTTATGTGTTATGTAACATTAAAAGGATAATTAATATTTTGCACTCAGATTGGAAACAAACGCAATACTGAGCTTATCAGTTGTAATTTCATTTGCACGCGTCCAAAAACTTATGAAATATAATCGTGTTATGTACTAATTAAGCTTCATTAATAAAACATAAAAGCAATTATAATATCCGCAGTATTCAAATCTTTTAATTTTCTTTCAATTTCATCAAAATCATTCAGCTGTTTTAGAGAATATTACGACCAGACACTAGATCATTACGAAACATTTGGAAATACTGCAAGTCCTGTATGTCAAAAGTTTAATTTGTTGTCACATAGAGACCTAATATTTTTAATATCTTACCGTATGAAAAGATGCGATTTCCCGTGACTGGGACGCTGTTGAGAGCTCCAATGTGGTTCAGCACGGCGCACCTGTAGCCGTGGCATTGTGAGTAGTGGACATAGGTTCGAATGTACACACTCTCCGAGGTGTTGCCGATGCCGGGACAGATCGCGACCGTCACGTCATCTGTTGGAGAAAAATTGCTTTTAAAATGGTATAAAAGTGTAACAAAAACAATATGAATTAGGAGTTATGCTAGCTATATACTTAAATAGAGGAAGAGGAGTGTTAAAATACGTAATAATAGTAACTGTTTATGTTAGTATATCTTGCCGAATTCTAATATTTTTACAGATTATCATCGGATACGGATTACGTCGTTACGTTATAAATATAAGTACACTCAGGGGCACATTTAACCGTCCACCCATCTCAAATAGCATAACGTTTGTTTATGTTAACTTACGCTTTGAATTATAGGCGCAACTTCATAAGTGGGTATATCATAAATCAATAAAACAACCATACCCGCGTTTTGTTTACTTTTGTGGTTTTTATTTAACAATAATCAGTTTATTCGAAATTTGACAGTCTCGCCCTTTGTTTGTGTGACGGATACATTTCATTTAAAACGTTGTGATACAATTTCTTCGAATAAAACCGAGGTGTTGGAGTGCCGTGATTCAATTTACACCAAAAAAATGCCATTGGACGCAGCTGGAGCAGCCAGGGCAGTAGCACTTGCAGACGCTGGGTTTAGCCAGCGTCGGATTGGACGGATGCTTGGATATCCACGAACCACTATTCAAGATGCTATCCGGCGTTACAGAGAGACTGGTTCCTACACAAGAAGGCCAGGGCAAGGTCGTAGAAGGTGTACATCAGAGAGAGATGATCGTTACATCGTCTCGAACGTTTTACGAAATCGGTTCACAACGGCTTCTGAGGCTCGTGACCGCTTGTTTGAGGTACGAAATGTAAGTGTGAGCCTAAGAACAATAAGAAGAAGGTTAGCTGAGAGGGACCTGAAAGCATTTCGACCAGTTCGAGTCCCAGATCTGACCACAGCTCACAGAAGAGCGAGACTTGCATTTGCTCGAGAACATTTAAATTGGACTTCGGAACAATGGAAGGCAGTTCTCTTCTCTGATGAGTCAAGAATCGCTTTACGAGGTCCTGATGGACGTCAGCGCGTGTATAGGCGCCGCGGTGAAAGGTTTGCTGAATGTGCTGTGGTTGGAACCGTGGGCTACGAGGGAGGCTCGATAATGGTGTGGGGTGGCATTTCTTACGACGCCCGTACAGAGTTGGTCATCTTCGATAGAGGCAGCGTTAATGCTCACAGGTACGTGACAGAAATCCTAGAACCATATGTGATTCCTTTTGCACCATTCATTGGCGATAATTTTGTTTTAATGCACGACAACGCTCGTGCACACACTGCGAGAATTGTCACCGATTACTTGGACGACGTCAATATTCAACGTTTACCATGGCCAGCTCGCAGTCCTGACCTGAACCCAATAGAGCATGTATGGGACAACTTAAAAAGACGGATCCGGAGTCGTACACCAGCTCCGAGGACCATCAGTGAGCTGAAAACTGCAGCTGTTGAGGAGTGGGAGAACATTCCCCAAAGCGACATCCAAGACATAATGGACGGGCTTCCTAATCGGTTACAAGAGGTCATTAGGGCCAGAGGAGGAAATACACATTATTAATCCGATAATTTACAGCACACTTTTTTAAAAGTGCCCTTTTGTAAATTTTATTTTTTGTTAAGAAAACTGTATATTCTGTTTTTTTTTTTAATTTTGTCTCAATTAAACCATTTCTCAACATACACATGTTTTATTTGTCTTCGTATAGGTTCACCCAATGTAATATTATAACAAAATAAATTAAATTACCATAGAATTTTGAAGAAATCGAAAAAATGTAGGTGGCCGGTTAAATGTGCCCCTGAGTGTATATTTATTGCAGATCGACTGTAACGACCTCATAATAATTAGTCATGCGCGTGAGAGGAACCATCCTCCTTCCCCAGCCGACACAGAAGAATCTAGGCGGAGAAGATCGCATGACAGATCGAACACCGTAAGCTCGTGTATGCGGTCAAGATTTCCGCAAAAAAACATCAAATTAAAAAGAACGCAAGAGAACGTAGGTACGACGTAACTAGACTTTCAACCCTTAGATCAATGAACTTTAACCTCTCTACTGGCGTATTTCCAACCGTAATGAGGTCGGCATAAACTCTCAATCGGTTTTGTCTGGACCTTATTACAGTAAAGAAGTTCAACGTTATTTATGCAAAACAATATTGTAAATAAACAAACAAAATTACTTATGCACCATCTGTTAGTTGTAATGTAACTAGGTACTTCCTTTACCGAGCATTTTGAATTCTATGTATACTGTGTCAAGGCCCAAGGTTAACTACCGACTATCGAGTCATACGACATTGATAATATTGTCAAAATTGTTTGTAATCGAGACTTACTACGGATAATTTAGTACTAATCTAAATTTAGTATAGTATTGGACCACAAAAATGGTTTTTAGGTAGGATTAAGAGAGAAAATTGATAAGGTTTTTTTGAAAGGGGAAAATCATCAAATGCCTTCTCCCGCCTAGGCTGAGGCGAGAGGGAGTGCCTCCTCTCTCTTTCTCTCGTACTGATTAAAACCCCGCAACCCCGGCTGAAAGTTGAAAAGGTTAGCAACAGGATAAGAATCTAACCTATCATTTCATTAATCACCGACTATTATGCAAAAATAATTAACGACAAGTGTCCCCGCTTGACAAGCCATAAACACAGCTCTCCGTTCACTCAATTTCCGCGGGAAGACATCCAACAGCGCAGCTGATTTGTTTTTCCTGCTACCACGTAGGTACACAGATAAAAAAATTCAAAGAAAATTACACTGCACATTATTTTGTGATTGGAGTTATTTAAAGTAGAAGTAATCTGTGATCTTATCGAAGCATGGCGATAGTACATTTTGTTATTATATTACTCGTATGACGGATTTGGGTACGTTATTATTTTTTCTAGCTGGCAAACCTCAAGCTAATAAAAAGGAAGGTTCCAGGATTCCAAACTCTTTGTACTAGTTGGTAGATATTCCGTATTACTGTCGTCTTATTCTTCAATTTAACTGTTACTGTTGATTAAAATCCGTAATTAATAAAAAAGTAATGATATGAAAATAAATAACAATATTTCACGGATTATAAAGTTTGCTTGCGTGACAGTAAACGTGATTGTCGTTTAACTATTTATTTAATGTAAATGGTGTTCGATTTGTGATAAATGTTTTGTTTGTAATGATTATTAAGGTATAGGTTCTAATGGTTAACATGAAGAATAATTCACGAACCTTCCTTTTCGATAAATCTCTTTTACATTCATTATATCTAGCATACAGTTACGGGTTTTTGCGTAATACTTCTCAGAACATCAGATAACTAAATGAGCCTTGTTTACAACACTTCATACAGAGAGAAAGCATAAGACTCCATTCATTTTGTTATCAGATTCCTCTGAGAAATTTTCTCAAATGTACTACTGACTCACTTAAAACTTCCTATTCTGATAAGAACGTGATAGCATTATGTACATTTTGAAATAATCGCTGATACGGTTTGATGTTTCATGACAGGTTTTATAAGCGAATAGACCTATACACTTGCGGTTATTTATATCCATGTCGAATTATTTTATTTTTGGCCTTGTCCGTGGTCCTGTATGGTAGAAGCACATAGTTTTCAAGGCTCCCAAACTAAAAAAGATTTTAATAAAACCTTTTTTGTTTGTTCCATTGCCTAATTAGAGTAAAAAGATATTAGTCCACCTATCCAAACTGTCTGTAATACCCTAAGTATAATACGCTAATACCTTTATGATGACTACATAGGGCAGGAGAAACACTATTTTTTTTTTTATCACACTCTGCAAACTCTCGATATCGGTGTTTAAACTAATGCCGCACTGTGAATTTGTTATCTCCCGGGACCAAAAACCGATATACTTAACCACGCCACTGATATGAATAATAAATTAAGTAGATACTGTAGGTATACACGATATTGTCGATATTACGCCATGACGATTCATATTGTATTTGATGATGATGATGATGATGCAATATAAAGCATAAAATACAAATGCAATTGCAAAAGCTGCATTTTCTTACAGTTTGAAACGACATTTGGCTGGTTCTATTTTATTTTATTTTTATTTTTTTGAGGGAGAAAAATCATCGGTTCCTAATTTCTCGCGCCCTGCTTGGGGGAAGGGGAAAACTCAGACAAACTAAAAATACCCCGCTCCTTCTCCTACTCCAGGGCGCGGGTACATTATTATCATTATTACGCTTAACCCGCTGACTGGTTCTCGTTTTAACCTGGATTTTGAATGCGCTGTTGCTAAGGAAAGGGACGGAATCGGTAGTCATATTAAATATAACAAATTATACGGTTGAATTTCCGAAAATACCAGAGTAAATCACTTCGGAAAATAAACAGTAGCGGTCTTTAAATCCTCATCCTCAAGATAACCTGTCTCCTAAGGACAAACACAAAACGATCTAGCAGAGTTTATAAACAGTCTAATAGGCTGATTCGCTGAACAATACCTTCATGTTGCAAGACTTGAAGCAATCGAGTGGAAAGACAGTTCTCGAGCAGCAGCCATTAATAGTAATCACGACCTTGTATTTGTTGTATCTCAATTCTATTATAATATTTATTGTTGTAACAATCTGATTAAGGTGTCACTTTAATCAGTTTTCTTTCTTCCGTGACGGGATAGCTATCACACCTACGCGCTACGCTCATCAGCGTACGAACAATGTGATTAGATAAAATCAATTTATACGTGCCCAAGTTGCTTACTGTATGGATGGAAAATTACAGGAAAACCGATACACATACCTACCTACATGTTTAACTATAGAGTTCAAGGGCTCCTAGTCGTAACTGATAGATTAACGTTTCAATTTGAGTGCATCCTTTTTCCTTTACATTTACGAGTTTTTTTTAAATTATTGAATGGAATTTACTAGAAAATATTCTTATGTAATGGATAAAATAAAACTTGAGTGGTCACAACGTCTTCTTTCAAATAAGTTTCATTGATGATGACTGCACGGTTGGAGCGGTGGCTGGGCATCTGACTGCCACGAAACGTGTCGCGGATTCAATTCCCGCAAGGAACAACTTTTTGTGTAAACCATTGTTGTTCCGGTTTGGGTGTGATTTGTATGTAAAATTGTATGTTTGTAAATGCACCCACGACACAAGAGAAAATCCTAGTGTGGCGAAACGTTTTATTTAAATATATATATATATATGTGTGTTGCAGAAAAAAACAAATTTTCTTGTTGAATAAACTGAGATTTCTGTTACCTTCATGTTCGTTTCCGACCGGTTCGTAGAGGTCGTAGGTGAGGGTGGATTTGTCGGGCAGCACTAGCGACACTCGTCCGCCTATGGGCCAGGGGCAACGGACACGTCCAATTAGACTGTGTAGAATTGTTTGCACATGCCCACTGAAGCCCCACAGACGAGTCGGTACATATCTGAAACAAAAATTTACGAGAGTCAGTTTTTCAGAGTTGCAGAAAATATTATTGATTTAGTATTTTCAAATTTTATTTATTTATCAATTATTTATGTTATTTATTACCGACTGCGAAAATTACATTTATGTAGGTATTATCTCCTTTCTTATTAGACATGGCAATTTGTCAAAACATTATTATTTCCTGATTGATTAGTTATAAGTATTGGTCAGGTAAAAATGGCTTGTTTTTATCATGATTTCCGAGTATGACTCATTTTGTCTAGATTTTGCTACGCTTCGTATGAATCATATAATAGTTGCGTGAACGCCATGGTATGGAGTTTTCCCCCCAAATGAAACATACTTGCGTGGCTTTGCTAAACATAGATTGATTGATGTTAAATCTAGATTCTTTGAATCTATTTTGTATCTGTATCCTTTGTTTATTTTTCGCTGTGAGCTGTTTAGAGCTTACCAAGGCTACCAACTGATTAAAATTAGTCATAACAATAACAAGTACATACATGTTTGTTTTTATACAAAACCTAGAACTGCATTTTACTTACACATGTCGAGTTAGGTATAGTGAATCATTGAACACTATAGTCCTATTATATTTTATCAGTCAAGTATCGCGAATGACACAAATTAGATAATTTATTGAATCATAAATATCAAGATCCTACATTTGATATAGTAGTATGACGACGTTTTTTTTTTTTTTTTTTTTTTTTTTGTGAGTGGAAAATCATCAAATGACTTCTCCCGCCCAGGGCCGGGCAGGAGGGAGTGTCAGACTCTTACTGACTAAAAACCCCCCTGTTCCTTCTCCTGCTCTGTGCCGAGGTCGCGGTACCTCATTGCGCTTACCCCGCAACCCCGGCTGAACATCAGCCCTTTAGGGCCCCGTCTGTGGTGGTCGAATGGCTCTTTGAGGCGCGCGCGGAACGCTACGCGCCGTACGCTCGGGCCTGGTTCTGGTCGGGCGGCGAGCTGCCCTTACTCGCCGACCGCAGGCCCGTACTTACGGTGGCCGGAGATCGTCCCTCGATCCCCGACGCCCGTAGTGTCGCCAGTTGCGGCTGCTGGGGCGTGAGGAGGAGGATTGCTCCCTCACGCGGGCCGCCTCTCTCTTTGCGAGCATGACTGCTTCACAAAAGGAGGAGACGGCGTCCCAGTTCCTCTCACTCCGCACCATGGCCTCGACTAAGGCCGGGCGCGAGAGGTCGCCGCCGCCGATCACTTCCCTGAGGATACGGCGGTGCTCAGCCCAGGCAGGGCATACCGCTACCGTATGCTCCACCGTATCCTCTAGGTGGTCCTCACAATGACGACACTCGGGCGTTTCCTCCCGCTGAATCCGAAACAGGAACCTACCGAAGCTGCCGTGCCCGGTAAGCACCTGCGTCAGACGGAAGGTGAGGACGCCGTGGCGTCTCTCAAGCCACTCCTCAAAGAGGGGTCTTACCGCTGCTATGGTAGCGTGCCCGGCCCTCGGTTGCGACAGTCGTTGTCTCCACTCTGCCGTGAGATCTCGCCGGAGCTCATTCCGCCACGCACTTATTTGGCGCGGCAGAGGATCTTCGCCCCGGCGACGCGCGTCTGCGCGCAAACTGTAGACGCGCGCGAGCGCCTTCGCTTCTAGATCCCACGGCGGTGATCCGGCAAGGAGGTTCGCCGCCTCCCCGGAGATCGTGCGATACCCGCGGATTACTCGTATAGCCATGACCCTCTGGGACGCGACCAGCGTACGAGCCGGCCGCCGCTTCAAGTCCGGCGCCCACACAGGGGCACCGTAGAGGGCCATGGATCGCACAATCCCCAGTATGACGACGTAAGTATACAAAAATGTCGCTATGATTAAATAGCTTGATATATAGCATTTTCTTATTTAATCTTAGCCCTTTCTGTTTAACATTTCTATCGTGGTAATTCGAGACAGAACAGAAGAAAAAATAGGTGCGCGAAAGCCGACGTTCGCTTGGGGTTTGATGAATTAATTGATATTATTATAAGTACTTTATAATCCCACAAATTTAATTAATAACACCAAAGTTTATGAGGATGGTTTGATACACATGTATGCTAATAATAATAAAAAATTTTGACTACTAAAATTTGTGGATATCACTTGCACAAATGGACTACAATTTATTAGATAGTTTCTATTAATTTTGTACTCTGTAATTTAGACTCCATGGAGTATTTTTCATACCAATATCAGGCAATAATGTAATATGCTGCTTTTCACATACATTTGTGAATTAAAAATTCACAAAAATGCATGGATGGATCAATACTACTTTTCATATAAAAATTACTGAACAAACTGAATGAAATTTGGCATGGAGCTAGATTATAGACTGGGTATTATATGTAGGATTATAGATAGACTACTGCTTACCCTACTAATTGTTCAATCATGAGACATTTGAAAAATTGGTTAAATCTATCTATTGTGATAATTAGCATAAGTTCATTAATTCTTTTTTTTGTGTGTATGAAGAACAATTACGTAGTAATTTAAAGTAGGTATATAATAAATAAATTAAAGAAAACAATAGTATTACAGTTTGAATGAAGCAATTCTGATTTCAAGGCCATGCTTTTGAAGGAGACAAATTGTAAACACAAATTGACATTCAGGTTAATTAGTTAACAACAGATGCAATCATCATTTTAAATAGTACTTACAATATCTGTTCAAAGTTTATATACTGCTAATATTAATCCTTCTTCCTGTTAATATCATAAATGTGAAAGTTTTGAAATAAAGTTAATATACAGATGAATATTTGCAACTCTTTTAAGTTTAAGCTACTGAATGGATTTGTATGTGAACAGATATAGATTATAATCTCACATAACACTAGGCTTTGGGCTACATTTCATGCCATACAGATGTGAAGCCATTAGCAGAAAGTAGTTTGTTACATTATTATTATTGCCTGTGTTAAATTATCAAAACATTCATTTATAAAGTAAGAACTAAAACTTACTACTTTAAATAAAAAAATACTTATTTATAACTCTACTAAGTGAATAAAGTACTACTATGAATATGGTTCTTTATTGAAGTTTCTTGTGTGGAATAAATATTGATGATACAATCCTATTATAGTATCATTTTAAAGATTATTAATGTTGATAGTATCCACAATAAGTTGTATTTTTATACATTGCTACATTTTAATTGAAGACCAGACTGTTTACATAAAACAAAATGAACATGAACTGTCTACAGACTATACTATAATAGACTGTTGAATAATTTGAAAGTTAAAAAAAATATTCTTGAAAATAATTTTAAATTTTCACTCAAGGGAGGAAATGCCTTTAGAATTTTTTTAAGAAACAATTTATATCTACATAAATTGTGTTCCTCATTAAAATTTGTATTATACATTAATTATGCAACTTTTTTTTTATTACTGGCAGACATTTTTGTTGTTTTTGTTTATTATTTACAAACACTGTTGCTGTTTATTTATTTCTTTATGCATTATTATTGTGTTCAGTTAATCATCTAGATACTAGTCATCATCAGATTTTTCATTTTGGTACCTGGCATTGTTGGTCTGACATCACATCTATAAAGCTAGTGAGACAAATCAGATACCTATGCAGTCATCTTTTGTGTATGACTCATAACATACAAAAAAGTAGCATTGCTAAACTTGTATTATTGAAAATGTGGTTAAATCAATAGATGCTTCTAGAATGATTACAAACTAAATAACTAACATGTGTAGGTAACTGATGTCTGTGTTTTATTTTTATTTTTGGAACTGACTGATTCATTCCTTATTAGAAACTCATTAGAAATATGTAGTCTTTTTGTTGAATTTATTGATATTAAACACTAATAAAACCTGTCGAGTGTTTATTCCACTGACCAAAATGTTCTCTTGAAAAATGCGCGCTAACATAAACACGTTAAAATAGAACAAATCATTCAGTTGCGCTAAAACTTATTGTTTTTTGTGGAAGATATTGTATCCGGCATCGAAATAGAGATCAAAACGATAGTTTTAATACCCTCAATAAAAACTATTCTGATAACATATCGTCCTTTTCGATACCGATACATTCTTCAATAAGTATATCCCGCAAAAGCTTCTTTAATTACCAAGTAATACTCTCGAGATAAAACCGTGACACAAAAATTTACTGCCTTAGCTGTTGCTAGTGACATCATCAAACTAGAGAACCTATCATACAGTGTGCGTGAATATCGAGAGGACGTAAATAAACGAAAATCTAAATGAAAACTATTATTATTTTACAAACAATACTTACGGTTCATTTAGGAACGGTGAAATGAAGAGAATGTTTTCAATAAAACTGCGATCTCTTCCGTAGATCACAGGTTTTTGGGGCTGACTATTAACATTCAATATTCTGAAAAGTACACACAAAATGACCGCAATAACTGCAAGCAGAACAGTCGACATTTTGGGGAATTTCAATCTTAATTAGATCTTGGCGATTTAAGAAGGATAATTTTACATAATAACGACAAAACCGAGTTTCTCGTTAGACGAGAAAATAACAAACAATCACCCGCCGCACAACGCACCACACTAAAAAATCTATCCGTCAAGCCGTCAAGCAAAACATCTCACGAGTTCTAGAAAGAGTGTTTCAAACTCAACTTTATTGGTTAAAACATCAATTGTCATTCTATGATTGGTGTGATAACATGGGTGGTTAGGTTGGTATTCGTCCAAACAAACGTCATAACAGTTTAAGCAACCAATAACAGTAAGTGAATGAAAACAGCAGTGTTGCCCAATTATCTTCAAAAATTATCTCCAAGTTTTTCTGAACACCTTATTTTGTGACAACATTGGTAAGAAGCTCATAAAATAAATCGTTATGTATCGTTTGTTTTTTTTAAAGCTAAATGGATAAAGTTAAATTTATTGGCAAATATGGGAACAATACAGGTGATACAGATACATTTTAATGGTACAGCCATACTTTGCCAGGAAGGCATGAAACACAGATGTATAATTATGTATGTTTGATCTTCATTCCTGGTTTTAGACGGTTTAAAATAATTCAGAATAAAGTAATTTAAAAAACTTTGGACCCAAATTATACCTACACACGACCCACTTTTTTATTTTTTCCCCTCACATCTCATCGATTCTGTAGAAAACACGATTGGTTTGGTTGGATGTAAAAATATACCTTAAAATTCATACTTGTAGCTCATAGGGTGAAACTCCTAAGTTGATAACCCTGGTAAGCTGTAAATTGAAAAAATCAAAAGTAACTTCACTTTTCTTTCTGGACACATGCTTTTTAAGACTGGAATTTCATGATTATCGCCCGCACGTATCCTACCGTGCCAAGCCAAGGCCTTTTCTTACTTCTCACACAGAGAAGAAATTAACTTTAATCACCATGCTTGGTCTAGGTCCTATGATTATTTAAGTAGGTAGTAAATGTACGCATATCTTTCGAATACTCCAATGGTCACGTGCCAAGATCTCACAACTGCACACGCATATTTTTCACATATAGCGCGGCCCGCGATGATCGTGATGGTTACTCATTAGTGGGAAACGGCATTGAACAAACTGTTTTAACCAAGAAGAACTTTTTTTTTGTTGCACAGCATACTCTGATATTAATAGGACTAGTAAATCCTCTTTCAATCAAAAGTACGTACAGCCGTTTGGGATCTATTATTATAAGTCCGTTAGTTGCAATTTTACTACCAGCTAATACGGTAGTGACTTCAGGGAAGACGGTGGCACCGTAGTCACGAGCCGCCGTGCACAGCGAGGCTTAAAGAGGTCACGTCCCTTTCGATAGAGATGTGCCGTAACAGGCGTTGCGACGAGGGACTCTGCAGTGTCCCACACCCCCTAGCCTTTTTTCCCAAAAGCTAGGCTCCTTTGGAAAGTTTACCCCCCTCCCCTCTTAACAAAAAAAGGTACACTAAACAAATATGTAAATCTAGGATTTATTGTGTCCACGTCATGAACGATTCCGTTGTTTGGATAGGAAAGTTTTTGTGATACTATAATAAAAATAACACCTTAGAAGAACATAATTTTATTAGAGAAAAAATGTTCATGAGCATAAAATAACCAATTACCAATAAATAACAATGCGACAAGTCCGCGAAATAAACGCAGTTCGTAATATTCATACAAATTAAAATCAAATCAAAACAAAAGATCAATTTATATAAAAAATGTTGGTTAGTTCTTAAACATAGGCTTATAATACAAATGTAACTTTCGTATTCAAATATGTCTGTAACACTGCATTAAATTATTGCGTACCGAGGTTATTTATTAAATAAGTACACTATAAAGAATTACAAATCCTTTCATACATTCTAAATGTCCCAATAGTGATCTAAACGTCGTTTAAAAGCTAGACTGTAGCTAGTTTTTGTGACAATGTATACATAGATTTTTCAACATTTACCCACAATATAAGCTAAAATATACAGATATACATTTTGTGATTCAAACATAGTGAGCAACACTTGTATTATAAATTATCTATTATATCTATGAATATTTAATTGTAACTTAGCACTTGTAGTCGTCATTATAAGTAAGGCATTGCTATGTGTTTAAACTAGGCATTGCTGGAGCAGCGTTGTCAACTATCTAAATATAAATGTTATTTCTTGATAATCAGTTATTCTCGTTATAATAAAATCACGTTATTATAACCGTTGTACACTACACCCAATACGCAATAAAAGGTCCTTATTTATATTACTGGGACAATAAAACAAGAGATCAGAAGAGATTATATGGACAATTTGGATTTATGTTTGGATACATATTACAAGAAAATCTTAAATTAGCAAAAAGCTATTTCTCAATTTGTAAAAGATTCTTATAAAAATATTATAGACAACTATAAATATATTGCATAACTTAGTGTCATATTAGTGTACACGCCATAATGAAAAACTTAAATATAACAAGTAATGTTCTATAAATACCTACAATAAGAGTTCATCCGATGTCCAACCCACCAGCCTTTACGTATCAATAAATATCTGTACATACACTTAAGTATAAATGTTATAAATAGATGGGATATCAGATGGTGCACAAGTATTTATTACTATACCAATACTAAGCCGATACTGACAAACTACATACAAATAGTCACGAAATGGTAAAGTAACACTAAAATTAATATAACAGTAGCGTAAAATTAAATTGTGATGATATCCTAATACTAAAATATAATGGCAAAAATTAAATCCTCAGCGCAGCGTCTTCTCTCTTATGTACTGTACGTACTCTTAACAACAACTAATTATTTGTATCAAATAAATGTTAACAAATGCTATCAAATTATCTGCTATATTTCGATAAGCTTTAAAATATGTATTTGTAAGATCTAAATCAAAAATAATGTACGACTTATAGAATTAATTACTTTGAATACATTGTGCTCAGTGTGTATAAGTTTTTATTTGAATAATAAAAATTTCAAGTGTTATTTCAACATTATGATGTGTAAATATATTTGTTGTTTGAAGAATGATTAAACATTTTAACTAGAAACACTATATGCCGCGCCATTGCTTAGCATAAGTCGAATTTTATATATATTTGGATAGGTTCAGGACAGGTAATGGATAACTAATTCTGCCTTAGAGGTAGACATTATTTTGTATTTATATATTTAAGTCTGTAATGAAAATTATGTAACTCGTAAGCTGTGTCTATCACATTTGATTCACTCAAGTTCAGCGATGATTATTAATTATGTAACCCTGGCCTTAGCGTGACTTTGATTTAACAAACTTAAAGCTTCTCATTAGAATCTGCAAAAGCAACCAGATAATTTGTAAAGTACAAAATATTGTCAATATTCGTACTAGGTTACAAACTAAATATTTTTGTTTATTGATACATTCATACAGATAGCACCACCATTCCTAACAACCATTTACTTTGTTCACACACACACCTCAATCCTGGATTTACTCAAGTTCCGTTTATTTTAGCTACGCTGAACTAAAGGTATAAATATGATTAGGGCTGTAGCTAAATTCGTTCTATAAAAGTTCCTTGTAACAATGCTAGCAAGATAGCAATGGCCGCGCATAATGGGCCGTAGAGAAACGATAATGGTAGGGTCAGCGTATGAGACAAGTGAGGCATAGTTCTGCTGATCCGATGCAGTCGTCGTGACAGAAGGCACCGCATTTCTTGCACAGTATCATTGCGCGGAGGTTACACACGCATGCGTCGTCCGCGCCCACGCTCCGGCACCGCGCTACGCTCTGCACACAAGGATTACATATTATTATAGCATACAACGATACATAATAATAATTTGAATGTAATGAAATGCTTTCTTTCATTTAATGTATAAAAAAAGTAAACCAAATTAAGAAAATTACAAATTCAACCTTATCTCCATTGCATAGCGCACATTACTTCGGAGATTAAAAAAGGACAATTGTGTTGCCGTTATATGCACAGTTTCGCCGGGTGAGTAAGTCCTTCTTCCCTTAGCCCAATCCCTCCTCAATCCATAAACCTCCGAAAACCCCAATCCCCAAAAGGGCTGGCAATCCATTCGACTTCTTCAACTCCTCTGGTGTTGTAGGTGTCCATGAGCGACGTCGATTGCTTACCATTAGGTAATCCGTCTGCTCGTTAGCCATCTGATCACATAAGTATTTCGCTTCTATCCATTTTGATCGCCCGCCCGTAAATATTGACCCTACGAGCTAAAGACCTCGAGATCCAATTTTTTCGAGAGTTTTGAGTTCAAGTAAAACAAATACTAACCACATTAGTATTTTGATTCGCAGGTGGAGCACTGGAAGCCCGCGGTGCCACATTTGGAGTTCTTTGGACGAGAATATACTGCCCCACGTTATTTGACCGATTCTCGTTTATCTGAAAATTATTGTGCCACGTTAACTTTATTAAATTAATTAAAGTACAAATATACATATAATGTAAAAATAGATATGTTAACCTGATATTACTGACAATACTTTGATCTATACTAATATTATAAAGAGGTAAAAGTAAGTCTGTATGTAGGGAGTACTCAAGCCACTGGTCGGATTTCCAAAATTCTTTCACTGACAAAAAGTTCGCGAGTGGTATAGATTATATAACATCATCCTACGAGCAATAAAACGGGTGAAACCGCGTGCCAGTAGCTAGTCTTTCATATACTTGTCTACTTACTTCATTATGAGGCATCACAGATACTGGCAGCTGTCGTACGAGTACGGGTGGGGGTGGGGGAGGCGGTCGCACGGACCGCGCGGGTCGCGTCAACAGCGCGGGCGGCGGTCGCAGTTGGCCGCGCAACGCATCGCGGTTCGGACTGTTCTGTATCGCCGCCTGACATATCTGATAGCTTCGTTCTAGGTTCACTGTGCCTGGAGGTACCTTGTTTGAACTTCTGCTCCTGGAATTAATGAATTATAATTATATAAAACTTAAACTTATGAGTACATAATGTAACATGATATTAAGTTGCTACCACTTTAAAAGGGTTGGGTGATGTAATTCTTGTTAGCAGGTTGTAATTGTTGTTTAAGTGTGGGAGAGCCATGCTTCGGCACGAATGGGTCGGCTCGACGAAACAACCACAACGTTGTGTTTCGCCGTGTGAGTGAGGTTACCGGAGGCCCAACCCTTCTCAATCCCTAAATCCCCAAAATCCCAATCCCTAAAAGGTCGGCAACGCACTCCTTCTTTGTTGTGGATGTCCATGGGCGACGCTGATTGCTTACCATCAGGTAATCCGTCTGCTCGTTTGATGTCCTATCACATAAAAAAAGGTTAACCTATTAATACACCTCTGAAACGATATGGAGAATAGGAAATAAAAAGAATTAATTTTCCCTAAGGTATAGGGTATTCCTATGAACAATGTATAAACACATACCTGTTAGATTCCTTCCCAATTTTCGATTTTTTACCTCGAGCCCAAATCCCCTGAGTTATTGTTGTAGAATTTACCGGTGGGTTTGTAACAGCAGTACTAGATATCAAGCTGGTTGCTGCATCTAACTCTTGTTTCGTCGAATCTTTTATTGACTGACAACTTTCAGATGAATTAGACGACTCCATATTAAAATTCGCATCCCTATCTTCTTTGTACATACAATTTTCATCATTCATATTTATATCATCCATACTTGTCTTAGAGTCTTCACTAACATATTTGGTACTCTCTGAATTTAAATTAGAAAATGGATGTAATGACATAACATTCTCATTGTTTGTCCAATCATTATCATTCTTCCAAGAAACTGCTGATGCTTTGGGTTTAGCTGCATCCTTCATGTTGTCGTCAGGATAGGAAACAATCTGAAATTAAAATTATTACATCTTAAATAACACTCCAATGGGCTAGAAATACACAGTGCACATATGCGGTTACTATGAGTGAGGGTGGGCCTCTATAACAAGAAAATTGAGTAATTGACTCATTTAAAAATATTTTCAGCTTTTACTTTTCAGTGATGATTTCACAGATTATATCATTTACTAAACATTCGTAATTTTTCAGCCGAATTTCAAGAAACAACCATGCTATTTCACACAAAAAAAAAATGCCACAAACAACAGGTTAGCAGACACCGAATAGGCATTGTCAACTTTGACAAATTAAAAATTCAATTGAATTCCTCAAGTACCACTATAATTAATGTTTCTTCAATCCTTTAGGAATTAATAAAATTGGACATCGCATGATTATCGCCAACTATTCTAATAAAAATACCAAAATAAAATGTATTTAGGAAACAAGCAAAATATTGCAATATTGCAATGATTACATATATTGCAAAATTATTGCAATGTTATGCAGTTGTATTCACTTTCTATTAAAGAAACACAAAATATAAACTTACTGATGTATTAGTGACTTCCATCATTGGTATTGATGAATTTTGTGTTAAAGGCATTGTTACAACCGCAGTCACATCTGAAAAAATTACAAAAAAATAGCAGCTGTTTGGCAACAACTTTACATTCAAATTAGAACAATATCTAAGAAAAACTATGAGTAGAACTGACAGTTAATGTCATTAAAGAAATAAATTGTTCATGAATTTTTTTACAAATACCCTAGTATTGTAAATATATTGTTATTTTAAAAAACACAACATACTCACTTGTTTCGCTCATATAGGAAGATAACTCCATCAAGTTTGGATGTGATGAATATTTTACATCTTCACTCTCTGAAAAAACAGCAATTAAACATTTAAAATTGTATTTATCAGAATATAGATCTAGAACACAATATCTATACTAATATTATAAGCCTGAAGAGTTTGTTTGTTTGAACGCACAAATTTCCGGAACTACTGGTTCAAATTGAACATGATCTGTAGAAGCTGAGCAGTGGGTGAAACCGTGTGAGAGTAGCTAGTATAAAATATGAGTCCACTTACGTGATGTGAGTATTGAAAGACTAGTCTCTAAAATAAAAGACTCTGCATCCTTAAAATGTTCATCATAGTAATTCTGTGACATATTCTGGGGCAAGCTTTCTTTTTCACACTTTACAGGGCTATTCATCACATCATCTTTTAAATGAGACTGGACATCAGGTGGTACTGTATCCACTTCCTGGGTGTAGCTCTGGCACACTGATTGCTCTTGCTCCACCACAGCATCTTTGCTCTGCTGTGGTGATTCCACATCTGTCTCAGACTTTACACATTCCTGATATTGTTCTGCTACATAAGGTTCCTGAGTTTCACATATTACACTATCAGAATTACCCTTATTAATTTCAGGACTCTCTTCCACCTCAGTTACAACATTATCATAAGGAATGGACTCGGTAGCACCTGTAGATTCACTCACTGCCATGTTATTTACATTCATATCTATCTTCAGACTGGACAAGGAAGATTCACTTCTTGCATCATATTCATAGACAGAAGCAGTGGCTTTACTGTCCTCACTATTTGTGTCAGCTTGATCTTGTCCAGAATACAGTAGTTCATCATTAGGACAAACTTGTTCATTTGAATAATTTGTCTCTATATCTGAATAATTATTTGCAACTTCTGTATTATGTACCATATAATTTGAATCATGCATTTCATAATCTTCTTCAAACTTAATTCTCTTTGCCATGGTATATTCTACATTTTCATTGCTTGATCTTTTAGAAGACTCATTTAAATTACTATCAGAATCTAGGGCTTTATAATCCTCACAATCTTTTGATGTTTCTTCAATTGTAACAACACTGATATCTAGTTCTTGCTTGACTTCATTCCTTTCTGAATCTCCATCCGGTAATAGAAGTGGATCAACAGGTGTAGTAGACAGTGAGTCATCCATTCTCTGTGTTGAAGATGAATCAGAGAAAGTAAAGTCTACCGGATACTCCTCATAATTAGCATGATTGTGACTCTTAGACTGTTTCAAAGGCAATAAGTCCGGTACAGGAGCAGATTGTTTACTACAAACTGAAAGTGGTTCTTCTATAACATCATCAGCTCGAGCTGAGGATCTTGTAACTGCTCCTACTGAACGCATTCTTTTACTACTACCAGATTTACTTTTTTTTATTTTTGGTACTGTACTGCTGCTTGTTATTGACGCTGTTGGCCTTAACTTTATTGTGGTTTTAAGGGATGGGCGATCAGAATTCAAACTGATGGAAGATTTCTCTTTCCTACATTTTTCTCCCCAAATAGGTTCAAAATGTTTCAATTTCCAAGGGTCTATTTTGCTTTTTTCTTTTTCTGCTTCAGTCTTCATTCTTTGCTGGTTTTCTGGTGTTAATTCTCCACCAGATAGGCTGTCTTGCCACTGTAAGCAGGCACGGGCAAAAAATTCATTATTGAGACTAGAAGAATTTAAGCGACCTGAAGGACTTAACCTATCAACACTTGGAAGTAGCTGCCCAAGTTTATATTGGTATAATGGTGGTAGAAGTGAAAATGTGTGTTTGTTTAGTAATGCTCTAATATTTGTATTAACTAAAATTGAATCTGGTGTTTCTAAGTCAATGCAACCTTCTCTTGTTTGCTGTAACTGTGCAGCTGTAGATAACTTTTTGCCACTCCTCTTTCTGGGTTTCATACAGAACCCTGGGATGCTTGCCAATACTTCTCGCATTGTTGACGGTCGGCTAGAGTTAGTATTGTTTTCTGTAAATGAAGTGGCTGCTGTCCATTCCCTGTTTTCAGGGGGAGGAGGAGGTGGTAAAGGTTTCACTATTATCCTCGGCAAAGGCCGTGAATGACTGGAATTCTTCTTTCTCCTCTTTGATTGTTTTCTTGAGGAGTGCTTACTTGACTTTTCCCCATCTTCGGGAATGCGTATGATGGAATACTGATCGTTTTTACATGGCGTGTATTTACTGTCTGTTGAATTTTCTGAATATTCCATATCGTTGTCTATATTTTTGTCTGCAGGTGATACATCTAGTTCCATTGTTGTGGCGTGTATAAATAATGAATTAAGAAATGGGAATGGTAAACTGTTGCCGATAGCGATCACTATTTCAACCCATCGTGTCTTTCTTCACGATAAAAAATTGTCTTTATTACAACGCTAATGGTGCAAAATAAATATCATCACTTAAATAACAGTGCAATCTTCGTTAACATGACAATATTCATACAATACAAATCTTTTTTACTCGATTATTTTAGTTGGAGGAGAGCAAAACGCAAAATGTCACAACAACGCAGAAAATGGATTCCAGGTACAGATTAAAAAAAATTGATTGAAGCCAATTTAAAGTTAGTAGACAGTGCAGAAAATACTAAACAAAACAAAAAATAGTTTGTTTCATCTATCTTTAAAATAATACAATACCAATTTTATTGAACTAAGTGTACGCATTTTTCCGTTAATTATAATAAAAATAGCCTTATATTTTCTTTATTTACTATTTAACTTGATTCTTTCTCAATAGTTTCTAAAATAAAATTTAAATTGGAGGTCATGGCTCCAGAGAAAGGAATCTCCTGAATGATTTCTGAGTCACCATAATATCTTCTCCTGCTCTAGGCCGAGGCCGTGCTACCTTATTGCGCTTGCCCCATAACCCCGGCTGAACATCGGCCTTGTATGCCTTGTATACGACGGGCCATACGCTCGAGTCTGATTCTGGTCAGACGTACCGGAATGGCGTCTACTACAGCAACTGGGGCGTGACGAGGATAGCTTTCTCACGCGCTCGAAATAGGCAAATGAAATGACACATTATTCGGCAATTGTTATCCCTATATGCAATATGAGCTTCCGCCCACGGCTTTGCCCGCGTGGTATTTTGATAAAAAGTAGCCTTTGTCCTATTCCGGAGTGTATGCCTGTGCCAAATTTCATCCAAATCCGTCCAGCCGTTTTGGCGTGTTTGAGTTACAAACATCCAAACATCGTTACATTCGCATTTATAATATATGCAATATAAAAGCGCACCCAAGGACAAACGGAAAAACCACGGTAGATATTAATTTGGTTATGGGTGTAGATATGGAAATATGGAATAACAGGCATGTTATTTTATGCCATTGATCAATTTTATACTTACGGATAAACATCAAATCAGATGCTCTACTGATGATTCAGATGCATCGGCTGATGCTGATGGGAACGAGAGGCATTTCGCGGCTCTCCGAGCAATCCCGGAAGTACTTTCAAGAATCAGTTCTAGCATCTTATTGCGATACAAATTTCGAGCCTTCTTAAACTGTCACTCTTGCAAATCTCTTTAGTCAATTAAGGCAAGAACGCAGTTTGGGCTTATTCCTAATCCGTGTTTAACCTAGCTCAGTTTTATTATATATGGTAATGGAGACAAACCGGGGTTAAATAAAACGCCTCCCTGGAATCAGATCCGTGGGATCGTCACTGCCTTATAATGATTAATATAGGAAACGATGACTACATAGTACTAAACATGTGTGTTGATCCTCTCTTCAAAAAATAAACTTTTATTTGTCGTTGCTAGATCCAAAACAATAATTAATGCCCCTTGGACGCCTTCTGTGTCCTAGTGGCTTTCAAGCTTGTATCTACTGTAGATACTGGCTTACTACCGGGCTGACAGAAATTGCAGCGGTTTAGGGAAACCGTGGTAGGCTGGTCCCAAATATAAAAGACACTTCTATGAGATTTCCTGAAGCAGAGAGGTTAATAATTTTAAGGTAAGGTTAAATTTAACCATATTTTACTATAATAATAAAGTACTATGAACAAGTTTTATATTCAAATAGAATAGAATAAGACTTTATTTGCTAAGAATGCAGGTACATACAAATAGGATCGAAAATAACATAAGAACCGTGTACATTCTACCTTGTTGGCATGCAAATACAATAACTTTTATAAAACTGAGTTAAATAAGGTAAAAAGGTGACTACAATGTATCATTTAAGAAAAGATTGCTTTGTAGTTACCTACTCATATTTTTGATCATCCCCTCCCTGTCCCAATAACAAAAAGGTATTTCCCTCCATTATTGTTTATGGTAAAGCTATTATTCTCTATGGTAAGTTTCCGGATAGAAGCAAGCAAGGAAGGATGAGACGCCATTTTGATTCATTCACGACGAATGGCGTACTGGCGTTGTACGTCCTAAGTGTAAAATTGTAGTGATTGTTGTGTATTTAGTTTATTGTTGGTGAATTTAAAGCTAATTAAAGGACAAAACAAATAATTAGGATTCCAATCGTTGATTGATTGATTGTCACAGCAGTCATGGGACGAGGAAGGTAAATATTATAATCAAGTCGTACAGCACATTGTTAGAAAATAAAAAGTGGTATTTTTTGTAATTCATGTGTTTTTGTGCATCCTTAGGGATCGTAGTCGTGATAGACGTCGTAGTCGTAGTAGGAGCAGGAGTAGAAGTCGCAGTCGAAGTCCCCGTTATGGTCTTGGATCAGGCGGTGGCGGTGGAGGCGGCGGCGGCTACGGCGGAGGTCGCAGAAGCAATCCTGGAGCTAGTCTACGAAAACCAAAGTGGGATTTAAGTAGACTTAAGCCATTCAAGAAAGATTTCTACGTTCCTCACATTGATGTAGAAAACAGACCAGAATCTGAAGTGGAGGCTTGGAGAAGTGATAACGAAATCACACTCAAAGGACGTAATATTCCTAAACCGACCATGACTTTTGAAGAAGCAGGTTTCCCTGATTATGTTATGGATGAGATTGACAAAATGGGATTTTCCAAGCCAACACCTATCCAGGCTCAGGGTTGGCCTATTGCATTGAGTGGATGTGATATGGTTGGTATTGCATCTACTGGTTCAGGAAAAACTCTATCTTATATTTTACCTGCAATTGTTCACATTAACAATCAACCAAAATCAAGTCGTGGTGATGGCCCTATTGCACTTGTATTGGCTCCTACCAGAGAATTAGCACAACAAATCCAAGAAGTCTGTGACAAGTTTGCAAACACATCAAAAATTCATAACACTTGTCTGTTTGGTGGTGCTCCAAAAGGGCCGCAAGCCAGAGACTTAGATGCTGGTGTAGAAATAGTGATTGCTACCCCTGGCAGACTTCTTGATTTTCTTGAGAGTGGAAGAACTAATTTAAAAAGAACTACTTACTTAGTGCTGGATGAAGCTGACAGAATGTTAGATATGGGATTTGAACCCCAAATAAGGAAAATCATTGAACAAATCAGACCTGATCGTCAAACATTAATGTGGTCTGCTACATGGCCTAGGGAAGTTCAGAGTTTAGCTGCAGAATTCTTAAAAGACTATCTGCAAATTAATGTTGGCTCTTTGCAATTGGCAGCTAATCACAATATTTTGCAAATTATTGATGTTTGTATGGAATACGAAAAAGAAACAAAATTAAGTACTCTACTTAAAGAAATTATGGCTGAAAAAGAAAATAAAACAATTATATTTATTGAAACCAAACGTCGAGTTGATGATATTACAAGAAAAATGAAACGTGATGGGTAAGTGTTGAATATAATTATTGAATGTAATATGTGTGTGGGATATCCATATCAAAATTAAATAGTACATTACAACAAAATTACTTCATAAGTAATAACATAATTGAACAAATTATAATGATCATTACAATTAATAATTATTAGTAACTTTTTTGCTTAATTGTTATCCGTTATAAAATGAGGGATAAACTATCTAATTTATGTACATGTTTTTCTTTTTTCTTAGGTGGCCTGCAGTGTGTATTCATGGAGATAAGTCACAAAATGAACGAGACTGGGTTCTACAAGGTAATGTTCAGTCTAAACATATTTATTATTTTATGATGATTTAATATTTAATTTATTATTTTGACAGTAATTTGTATTATACTAGCTCCACAATGATAGCCAAACTAATTTATATCAAATTGGTGCTGTATAATAAAATTAAACTAAAAAAGCACGAGTGGTTGTCGAGAAGCGGTGTCGGACATAAGACGCGAGCGCGTTGGGTGTAGCGCAGTCAGTAAACACATTTTGAACCCGTGTCTGCATGTGCAGGCTGTGGCGAGCTGTGGCCTGCGGCGGGGCGGCAGCGCGCGGCTCGTCGCCGCCCGGCCGCAAGCGGCGGCGACAGCGCCCGCACCGCGCCCGCCTCTAGTTGTCGGGGCTAAGCCCTATGCACTCTGACTCGCTCCCGCGGCTAGTCTGAGCCGCTTCTCGCGGCGGCGTGGCGGCCGCCGGCGCATCTCGCGGCGCATGTCTAGCGCAGTCCCGCGGGTGTCGACGCCGGCGCTGCGTCGCCCCGACCACGGTGGTCGGCTCTCGGTTCTCGCCCTCGTGCAGATGGGCGACCTCTCACCTCTCGCTCTCAATTTTTATTTTTTGTGCCATATAAAACAGACGGAGTTGATATTATTAGTAAGTTTACTAATACAATAGTGAATGGAATAAAATTATTATTTACGTCTCTCATTAAACCTCCCGAGGTTGCCCTCAATTCTTCATTTAGATATTCATTCACATCATTTTCCTGGTTTACATCTTGACTTTACTTCCTAACTATTTTGTTTTTCTTTACTTATTAATACCATATATGTGTAATACTTACATTAATCATACATACCATACATATTTGTTAAATATAATCATTAAAATAATTTATTATCATTACATCATAAACTCAATATTGCTTAAATATATGGTGGCCGAGAAGGGGTGAAATGTGAGATGAATTAAAAGTTATTGAGAAGTGTTGAGTATAAGAATTGCTGCAAAATTTATTGGTCACATAGATTATAGAAGGTGTACGAAATGTTTGGATAAACAATTTGGTGATATTGTTGTGGGAGCGACATAGACCTGCAGTTGAATTTATTTCTTGATTGAAATAGTTCTCCTGATGTTTGTTTTGTAGGGGTATATATATGTTTTCATTTTGTCTCATAAAGCACATTAGTATAATACAATATGTATGCTGTGGCTCGAGAATGGTAAGAATTAAGAGTAATTCAGATTCTCTGGAAATAATAATTTATTTACATAATTTATTGTTAGCGGGTATGTACATGAATTACATTTTGAACAGTGAAAGTTAAATTTTCAGTTTCAATGTTTGTAAATTCAAACAGATTTTATCTTATGTGGTAGTAAGGTGCTCATACGTAAAATTTCTTACAGATTTTCGTAGTGGGAAAGCTCCCATTCTAGTTGCTACGGATGTTGCTGCTAGAGGTTTAGGTATGTATCTAATTTAGGAGACTTATGAAAATATGAATAATGTTTAGATATTGTTTTGGTTCATTGAAAATTATTATTTTTAGATGTTGATGATGTTAAATTCGTTATCAATTTCGATTACCCAAGTAATTCGGAAGATTATGTACATCGCATCGGAAGAACTGGACGAACTAACAAAACTGGAACAGCGTACACGTTTTTCACGCCATCGAACGCTGCTAAAGCAGCCGACCTAGTGGCTGTTTTGAAAGAAGCCAAACAAGTAGTAAATCCTAAATTACAAGAACTTGCTGAACGAGGTGGGGGAGGTGGAAGAAGTAAGTGTTACAATATAATAAATTTATTACGTGATATTGAAAATAATTACCTTTATTTTAAAGACGAAAATGGCATATTATATTTTCTTATTTTTTACCAGGGCACCGTGGACGTGGCGGCAGATATCGTCGTGGCCGTCGTTCTCGCTCCCGCTCCAGGTCGCGCCGCCGTCGCTCCCGCTCCCGCTCTCGCTCACGTGATCGTCGTCGCAGACGCCACAGCTCCTCCAGATCTTCGCGAAGCCGATCATCGAGGTCATCGAGAAGTCATTCACGCTCCCGCTCCCGGTCGCGTAGCCGATCTCGCTCAGGCAAGTGCAGCCCAGTGAAGAATACTTCGGATTCGGGTCAACAACAGGCGCCCCAAGCTCTTCTTCCCACGCCGAAAACCCTTCTACCGACTCCCATAGGCCCTCAACTACCTAACCACAATAACCAAGTGCCATCCTCATCCCCTGTAGAAAACAAAGCTCCTCCTAATGATAGAACAGTTCCTAATAATTCTTTGAACAATGGTAGTCAAAATTATTTACAGCAGCCTCCTCCTCAAATACCGCCTTTGATGGCTCTTAATCCTCAAATGAATATGTGTACTCCTCCTCCTCCAATAAATGGCCAAGGCTTTGCTTTACCTCCTTATTTTCCTGCTGATCAGTATGGTATGATGATTCCAAACTTCCCTGCGCCAATGCTTCCACCGGGTGGTTGGGCTGCCCCGCCGCCACCACCGCCTCCCCCTCCGCCCTCGGAGTCCTCGGCAAAAGGTAGTCACGAGCAAAGGGGCCCTGGCCAAAGTGGCCTCGAGTCAGATTCCAGAAAACGCGGGGCTCGCTCAGGCGGGCTCGGTGGCTCGGGCGGCTATGCACCCACTGCGGGCGGGCTCGGCTCCAGCAGCGGCGGGCTCGGGGCCGGCGGCGGGCTTGGCTCGTCTGGCCCCGGGCTGGGTTCGTCTGGCCCCGGGCTGGGCTCGTCAGGCCCTGGGCTCGGCAACAGCACCGCGCTCGGTTCCGGCGGCGGGCTGGGCTCCGGAGGCGGGCTGGGCTCGTCCGGTGGGCTCGGTTCGTCCGGTGGACTTGGCTCCGATGGCCCAGCTGGCTCGCGTTCGCGAGGCCGCGACCGACGTCGCCGCGGCCGAGGAAGGGATCACGACGACTTAGACTCTGCCAACTCAGGAGGTCTCGGCTCGTCAGGGCTCGGTGGGCCTGATGGCGGCGGGCTGGGTCAACCGCCCGGCGCCGGCTACAATTCTGGCGGTCTCGGCGTACCTCACGGGAGCCTCTTGCCGCGCATGCTACCTCCGAGCGTTGTCGATGGCGCTGGACCACAGGGTGCTAACTTTACTGCGTTCGGGTCTTATGGATCCAAAACTGTTAAGCAGAATAACAATGTTCAAGGAAACGAGATTAGCGAGGGTTACAATGCTGCTGCTGATTGTAGAATGGAATATTATGGTCCACAAAATGCTGGGCCCGGACGGCCTTACGGTCTCGGTATGGACCAGATGGGTGCCAACGGTGCGCTGGCGAATGGCTCCGTGGGGTACAATAATGACCGCCAGAGAAATCGCCGACGATGATTGCGACTGAGGTTTGTTATATTCAAACCAATGCCAACTCACCTATTTTAACAACTCCATTACTCCACTACATTACACGATATAAGCTGTCTTGGTGTTTGTCAGTCAGACTTTTATTTACAGTGATGGTCTGTATGATGAGCGCCTGCATAATTATTGTAATATTATTACTCTGTGCTCTATAAGACTTGTCAGAAAAATAATATTGTTGAGACACGTTTTAACGATAAATATCTTTTTTTACAGAAAATGGATATAACGGGGACTCTCGTCGACGCAGGCGACGTTAAACATCAGTGAAATGTGAACGATCGTGTGGAGCAAGGAACATAGTTTAGTTACATAAGATTTGACACAGACTATTTTAATTTCCATTCCATGTTGTATTTATTTAATGTGTGACCATTAGTGCAGTGATACACATGTGTTTAAGTATTCCCCGATTTTCAACTAGTACACATTATAATGCAGTGTATATAAACATTAATTATATTAATGTTCTAGATTTAATTTTAAATAATAAAATTATATTATCTCATTTGATAAATAGTTTCATAAAAGTGCCAGTATAATATTCACGATATATTTTGCAATTTATTATTTATACTGATACTAAGATTTAAAATGGTCACGTGTACATAAATAAGTGATATTTGGTCACTACAAAAACCATCTAATTTTCTCAATTATTTTTGCTAAAACTACCAAAAAAGATGATTAGACAATTAATTACTGTCCAGTGTTGATAATTGAATCAGTGTTGTGTTGTCAGTAGACAGTTTAATTTGAGTATTGCATTGTCAGTACTTTGTGAATCTTAGAATTTTGTTTGTATTGTGTTTTTAAGGGCAGTTGTGATCATTTAACTGTAGCAGGATAATAGATTACTTAAAGTATGTACCGTTCTTTAATAATAACATTACTATTCAATGGTATTTCCATGAATCTTTTTGACTAGTGAAGAGGATCTTGTAATACAATGTAATGTAAACGAAATTAAAGTTTTACACTAATACAAATGTGTTTCTTTTACTTAATTTATCTGTGAAAACAAGTCCCAAGTTCTAATGTAAATAAGCTAATAACAAAGTAAGCTCCTGGTAAAATTTTTAATGTTGGAAACTTCCAGCATTATCAGTAATGATTGTCATCACTGAAACTAGGATTTTTAGTAAATACTAGCATATATATTTGAATGCTAGAAAATAGAATATCGGCTAGATCATATTCGTCTGAATCAATATTAGGCCATGCCGATATGCCCAATGCAGCACTTATTTTTTTAAAACGGGGTGAATAGTTACTAGGAAAATTCGCCAATATCTATTCAGCCCGTTTTACGGTAGGTACTTACGTGATTGTTATGGTTGCCCGGGGTTGCGGGTCAAGCGCAATAAGGTAAATACTTACTTACCGCGGCCCCGGCCTGAAGCAGGAGAAGGAATGAGGTGGTTTTTAGTTAGTAAAGTCGAACACTCGCTTACCCCAAACCCCCAACAAAAGTGTTGTCATGGTTACAGTGTAACCAAGGTTTCTAATGAAAGAATTTGAAAATGACATCCTAATTTTCTGTAGTAGACCAATAACAAAAAATATATTTCTTTTGTATAAGTAAAATTAATATTAGTCTCAATTTACAACAACTTCAAAACATTTTATTGGTGAATTATGAGTTTCTGTGTAGATCTTGTATCTGAGGATTCTTTTTACGAAAATATCACTTTGGGAGTGACTAAACTGTTAGGTAAGTTGGAATAGGTATAGCAGAGGTAAATGTTTGATCATTATTATGTATTCTTTTTCAATTAACTTTTCTTTGAAAATAAAATACTGGATGGTATGAAGTGGAAGAAAACAAGTAAATTAATTCTCATAATTTTTTATTTACAATAAAAACAACAGGTACTTATTTAGGTAAATAAAATACGTACAGTTACGGCTTTAAAATTAAAATAGTTAACAATAATAGTTTTGCTCAATATGAGTTTGCTTTATGTTTAGGCAAAAAGTTGAATCCGTCAGGTACAGGACCTAATAACATCTCACTTATTTTAATCCAGTCGGCACAGTTTCCTGATGCCATTAGTGTTTCTAAGTCATCTCTACCAAAATACAATGGTGGTCTTTCATTAATTTTTTGTGGCAGTCTTTCTAGTAAACCCACAGGTACATATCTGTATAAGAATGATAACCATTCAAGTAAAAACCTGCGGGTATTCTCCACGCCTTGCATATCAGAGCCCCAGTGTTCCAAGCCATAGTTAGTGTACTTTTTTAAAATTTCAAATCTTTCCTTGCTGCTTATATCCCAAATTCTCTGTTCCTTTATCTCAGTAAATATCCAAGGTTTTATCAGTGCTCCTCTTCCAATCATTACCCCCTGTACTGTGGGAGCAATAGTTCTTCTATCAACATAATCTTGGAAGCTTAAAATATCACCATTTCCATAAACAGGGCAAGGTGCCGCAGCTTGTGCACAAGTTTCTATGTACTCCCAATCTGAAGACTTTATGTATCTAGCTTCTCTGGACCTGCCATGTACTGTAATAAGTGATGCACCCCATTCAGACATTTTTGGTACTATGGTATGTGTTATTTTTTTCCCTTCATAAACACCAGTTCTCATTTTGACCGTAAAAGGAATGCTTAATACTTTTGAAGCACATCTTACTGATGCTTCCAATGCATTAAGTCTGTGCATCATACCACTCCCTCCTCCTTTTTTGTATATTAAATCAATTGGACATCCTAAATTTAAATCTATGAAATCAAGTTCAGTGTTCTCTTGTAACATTTGAGCTACTTTAGTAATAGTGTACACATTAGTGCCACATATTTGTGCTCCAAATAAGTCCTCTGTTTCATGCCTTTTGACCAAAGCCCATTCTTGTTTCATTCCTTTAAGTAAAGATTCACACAAAGCCATTTCTCCACAAGTTATATCTACGCCATACTCCTTGCAGATTCTCCTGAAGGGCAAGTTTCCAACTGTAGTTAATGGGCTAAGGTACAACTTGTCCTTCCAGTCTATGGTCTTCTTCTCCCTTGGTAACAGTTTGATCAAGTCTTCATCAGTGACAACACCACTTTGGTGTAGTTTTTCAGTTTTAGCCACTGGTGCATCTTTAGATTCCTCATTATTTTCTCTACTCTTGTTATCTTCTGCTGATACTTCCTGAGACTCTTCATTATTTTCTTGTGTGTCCTTATTATTTTCATTTGGTCTCTTCTTTCTGTCTAGGTGTTTTATCAGTCTTTCAGATAAACTAAAATCATATTTTCGTTTTTGTAGAGCTGTCTGTAATGTAGGTTGTATAGTATTTTTAGTGTCATCTTTCCATTGATTCCATTTATCTAAATTAACCATATTGTACCCGTCTGGTGTAATATGACTGGAACCGAAGCGACAGGCAATGCCTCTGGGGCATTTTCCTCTTGTTTCATATAGATGGCATGATTCACCCAAGTCTTTGGGTTTTGATTTTATATACTCAAGTGCATTATGAATGTACTTACAGTTATTGTACTGGCATGGATTTGAATTTTCTGCTGCTTCGACGCACACAATAGAAGGGCAGGGTTTATTTTCCTTATTATCTTTGAAAGTTTTCGGTCTCGCTTTATTTTGTCCTCTTTTTTTGTTCTTGCTTGTAATATGTTCTTGCCCTTCGTTAGCTTTGATCTTCTTATTGTCTACATCATTATCTTCATCGTTATTATCAGTTAACTTGCGTTTATTATTACTATCGTCTTCTACATTGGTACTTTTTACCGGTCGTTGAATGATAAATTGTTCTTTAATAGCACAAACACCATCCATTGGTTTAGTCATTTTTGTACAATAGTTACTTTTACTTATACTTTCTTAATTTCAAGTAAATTGTTCTATAATCTTGATTATTATCAAATCTAATAGGTTAATTTTTACCACACGAGAGTTGGGCTGACGGGCGACAAGAGTAATAACTGTCATGTCGATTGTCACTGTCACTGATAGCAGATATCAACAATGCTAAGAAAATTGTCAGCTGTCAACTGGTTTCTTTTTTGTAAACAGGATTGGAACCCAATAATAATATAGAATAATAATATGATTAAAATGTAATATAAAAGTATAATAAAATGTAATATATTTGTAATAAAAAACTGGAATTAAATTACAATTTCTATTCAATTAGGTACCTCTGAAATAATGTGGTATCAATTACGTTATTGCTGTAGCGTGATAGTTGCACAGAGTAAAGTAATATATTGGCTAGATAGTTGGGCCAATTGCAGTCATACGCCACTCTCAGCTATGAAGCAAAAGTGTCTTTTCCAGGGGCATCACCCACTTGAGTTTTACACAAGAGGGGAATTTATCTAGGCCCGTTCTAGGGAAATGATACACGATTTCTAGTACTTATTTATGAAAATTATTAGTACCTATTCTTCAGAATCAGTTTGTAATTTTTGATATAAGCTGGATTCTAAACCAAAGCCGGTTTTATTGTATTCCTTAATTAGTTTATACTTACTTAAAAATGTTACTTATACGTGATTAACAGAATCCGATCCTAGGATATGTCATGTAAACGTGGAACGTAGATCGCCCTGCGACCGCGTAGCTCTGTCTACATGGGAACAAAGGCATTCGGCGTTATTACCTGAGGATCTTCGAAATTTCTATGCATCCAGCGACGGATTTCAATTAACTTGGCATTACAAATATTCAGGTCAGTTACTTTTAAATGTTTGGAAAATATGATTATTTTCAAGTGACCCTTCCTCGCTTGTTAGACATATAATAAGTACCAAATGTGTAGAATGAAATCGAGGTACCTATAGTATCGATAGTGGGTATACCGTGAAATCCTCCAACTTTGGACTCTAGGGGTAACATTGGACGGAACAAAAAATTTACTAAATTAGGTCGTACCACAGAAATGATGTAAGATAGGCACATTTTTGAAACAGTCGTAGTAAATAAATAATATTTCTGGCAACAGTAATTGACAGTTTGTTCGGTGACGTCATTCAGTTGTCTAGCAGCCGTGGTCAAAGTGACACTATTGAAGAGTGGACCAATTTTTAATTTTTCATTTTTGATCGAGTGTCTGTTAAAATGAAGCCTAGGTAAGTACTTTCTGAATATGTTATAGAATGATGTCAGGAGAACATTTTGATATGCATTATAACTTAAGATTAGTATTTGTGTCTAAGAAATGTGAGCGACCAATGTTACAAACAAGGTCTCTGTACTTGGGGTGTAAACATTGGCCACCGTCAATTATGTATTAGGGCTGCCACTTACCAGTAAGAAATGTAACAAGTAAAATTATTTTAAATTGTAACTTAAAAGGTACAGTGGTTCGGTAGTTTGAAGGACTACTTAGAAGTTTTTTGTTGATTTAACCTTTCCACTATAATAAGTCAAAGTGAAACTTGTATTTGCGCAAATCATATTTTAATATACTTGCTTCAATTCAAAATCAGTATCCTACCTAGCAACACGAGGCAATGAGTTTATTTTTTATTTATTTCAGGGACAAAGTTAAAGCGAAATCGTCAGTATAAAAACTATAGCCAAGAAATGCTGGAACTAGCAGCTGCACGACAGTTTTCCATACCTAAACAGACCATATTGAACAAAGTTCACAATAAACATAACAAGTCTGTTGGATGTCCACCGCGTCTACCAGCGGAAGAAGAAGCCAAAATAGTGAAAGTCCTGATTGCCGCCGCTAATTTTGGTTGTCCGCTTACTAAATTAGACCTACTTGTAAAATAAAACAATTTAGTGTAAACATATATTTTTTCATTTCTTTATCTTTCTATGTGTCAACCCTAGTACCCAAAAATCAGTTGTAGGCATATTAGCAAAAAATACCAGGTAACATTGGCCACTGTGATAAAGAGCGAAAGTGGCCACTTTTAATAACTTACTTCATTTCGTTGCCTTCTTTGGCCAGATTTCTACCATAGCTCTTAATAACATGCAAATAGGGCTAGT